CTTTCCTGTCTCAAATATTTACTTCCCCGTAAAACCCTTCTGCCTATTCTCCCTCTGCCTCTTCCCCTTCGCCGCCTCCCTTCGCCTCCTCTTCCACGCTCGATTATTTTCCCCCCGATTCTCCCAAAACCACTTTGAAAACTCGCTTTCTTCCTTTCCCTCCTTTGCAGCATTATCATCGGCACACGCAGTCGCAGGAGGTTTTGGCGGTGTCCCCACAACATCATCGCCGTCCCTATTAGGGTAATCATCAATATCCATCCCATCACCGGTGTCGTCATCATCGTCACGGTTGTCTTCGTTGCCGTCATCTTCTTCTTCATTATCACTCCAAAACCTACTCTTATTCGGTGCCACAGTGTCAGGAGTCGGGGCTGCGCTGCGCACGCCCCGCGACATCAGGTCCAGTTTCGTAAAAGGGGTTTGGGGCTCTCCTGTGTTGAGAAAAGAGTGAGAGTGTTGGTTTCCTGCGACTGCGGTATCAGAGTCACCCTCTTCGATGTTCCTGTCATCGTCACCGAAGAAGCTGAATTGGGTATTGATTTCCAACGGAGGTTTTAGGTTGTTGGATTGACGGTGATTTGCGGGGCTTTTGAAGAGGGCTTCGAGGGGATGGACTTCCGTGGCTGACTCCGGTAATTGTTTGAGATTGGAGTTTTGGAGAGGGGATTTCACTTCCCCGGTGATGGTTTTGGGGACCGCGGGCTTGCTAGGGCTCGGCGTTACAACGATAGATGGCTTGGCGGTGGCTTTGGGAGTGAGGCTTGGTGATTTAACTTGTTCGTCTTTCTCATAGTCGTCGTGATTCTCCTCTTCTTCGTCTGAGGATGAAGACGAAGACATCGAGTCTTCCCCCCTGGAAGACGTACCGGAGGAAGATGCATCGTCATCTTCTTCATCAGAGGAAGTTTCAATAGAAGAGCCACTCGAGGACGTCTCGTCGCTGTCGACCTCAGTGGGCGAGGATTCCTGAGGAGCGACCTTTTCTACCGAGAGATTGGTGCTGTTCTTATTCTTCCATATCTGTTCCGACTTTTTAAGTGGTAGGTTTGTGACAGCGTTCTCCGTGATAACGAATTTCTCTTTGACATTTCCGTTGCGGTCAACCCACCCCTTTCCATCTAAATACTCACTGGTGAGACCATCTTCAGCTGGCTTCTCACCAGTCCTGAGAAAACTTGGAATGGTGGTTGATTTTTCAAATTCATGCACAATCACTTCACCACCTTTCTTATCTTTCCTCCTTTTCTCAGAAGATTTCTTCTTCTCTTTCATTGCATCAGTGCGATTGGGAGGCACTGGCGTCCGGAACAGGCACTCCGACTTTTCTGTATATTTTGAGCGCTGAGGTTTGCGCTTTTCGCCCTTTTTATCTGATTTGCGACTGCGCTTGTCACGACCTGCAGGTTCTGTCCAACCGCGTTTTACACGTCTTTCTTGAGGCAATTCGTACCCATCAACAACATTATCCGAGTCTCTCCGCTTTTTCAAAGATTTCACCGGTTTAGACAGGGGTGAAGAAGAACCGGGAAGAGGCGCTTCGTCGTCGGGCAGAAGGCGTTTAGAGGGCCGTGCTTCTTGTATCTTCAGCCTTTTACCTTTCAGAATGGAACCATTCAACTTTTTCACAATCTTGTCCGCCTCCATTTTAGGTAGATTGACAAATCCGTAGCTGTTCTCTGGGAAGGTCTGCACGGAATGGTAGGAAACGTCCCTCGCAGCCTCGCGAACTGACGGCGGCAAGATAGCTTGGAGCAGCTCTGGTGTCAACGGGGAGATATGGAGACGGGTAGTGCCAGCGCTTATCATCGTGACCTCATACCCGTAGACTATGTTGCTGCCCTTGTCATCGTCGTAATCGACGGCATCAAAAGTGTCTTGTTGAGTTGGTCCTAGGGATACTAAAAAAGTTATTGTTTGCGGCCAAAACAATCAATGCCGTATTCGACGTATTTGGCGTATTTAATACAGTTGTGTAATTTACAACTTGTCACGTGACTGGTAAAGCGGTGAGGAGGGAGTCACCCAACCGGGACGGCAGGCGCTGGCAGAATGACCAACTTTGAGACAGGCCAACTTCCAACTGCAGCCAACAAACAAAGCCTAACTCCAGAATCGCCCCAATATCCGGAGTGTTGGACTGCGACAACACCGGGTTTCTATAAAGCTAGCTTCTAAGGTTATATTTCAGAAAAGCGTTGCAGTCGATCCAGAGCTCTTTTTTGGTGTCACTGTATGTCCATCCAACGCTATCTGCTTTCAAAAAAGTCTCCCTCTTAGCCTGGCTGTATATCTCATCCAGCTGCCCAGGCGAAACCGAAGTCATCTCATGACCTAGTCGAGCCAGCTTGTATCACGTCTGCCGGACGGACTCTCTTCTTCCACGTACTCTGCTATGGTTAAAAGGCTTGTCGCTCTCATGGCCGGATCTTCGTTGTTATCGTCGCGTCCATCAACTGGTCCGATTACCCCTCCCATCATCCAATTCTAGGTCGTCACTTACAGTATCCTCTCATTTCCTGCTGATTAACAACGTGCACTGTCGACCAGAGGGAAAGCTTTCTGAAGTTGTTCTAAGCTTTGTTAAATTGGTTAAATTGGCCCTGACCAGCTTCTTTCATTTCCTTTCACTTAACACCGCATAAAGCCTTCCCCCGCCGGACTATGGGAAATACCGCCACCAAGGAGGCAAGACCTCCCTTATTATCCGTTTCCAGTCGGCACAGTCATGGTCGCGGCTCGACCAATGCTTCAGGGGCCAGTGGAAGCCCAGGTCAGCAACATCATCATTCGGAGAATTTGAATCCCGGTGTCTCACCGAGGCCATTTCGTGGGAGTCGACCGGATCTTTCTTTCCTTGGGATCGGTCAAGGGGTTGATAGAGATGCTCCTGTTGAGCGAAGGGAAACAAAACAGGAAAGGGAAGCGAGACGGCTAGAAAGAGACCGTATCGCCAGGGATAAGGAACGAGAACGCAGCATGAGAGAAGAACATGTGGATGGCGGCTATTTGGTTACACAAGGCATTTATCCTGGCCCAGAGGATTTCAACAAAGCAATTGTACGCCAATTAATGGTATGAGTGTGTTCTTGCGAGGATTGATATCATTAATCTAGCCATATACGTAAACTAACTTTTTGTCTAGATTGAACGGCGACTTGCACCTTTTTGGAAAGGTTTAGAGGAGTTTTCAGAGTCATGGACGGAGCATCAACTGATGGCTGCGGCGAGAGGGCTTCCAATCCCGGCTCCTGATGAAATCCCCCCTGAATTAGAATATAAACTCTGTCCACGGGCTATAGAAGGGCAGGATTCGCCAGAGAAGAATCTAGCCAACTTGACGGTTCCCATCACGTCCAGGTCGCAGTCATACAATTCCGATACTTCTTCCGGCTCTCATCCCACATCTCCTGCCGTTCCTGTCCAACTTCAGCTCCCACCAAGTGGTTCTGGCTCATCCAGCACACATCTCTTCCGTGGTCGTGCTAAAACTTTGGTGTCCCTTACTGCATCTTCCAGAGGATCCTTACCGGCAGAGATGGCTCCAAGGGAGATGCAACTTCCAAAAGACCCATTTGTTAATGGGCAACCTATTGAAGCGTACCTCTATAAAAGTCCGACTGAATGTCCTATCTGTTTCCTCTACTATCCCCCTTACCTCAATAGAACGAGATGCTGTGATCAAACAATGTGTTCGGAGTGTTTTGTCCAAATCAAACGAGCTGATCCCCATCCCCCGGAACGGCGACGGCGCAGCCAAAATGTACAGCCCAGTCAAACTGCAGAACCACTCTTCCAAATCCCACACCTACATTCTACATCCGCACCACCTGCAACACAAATCCCACAAATCCCACAGCAAGACGTGCAACTGGTATCCCAGCCGGCTGCATGTCCTTTCTGTGTCCAGCCTGATTTCGGTGTTACCTACTCCCCACCTCCTTTCCGAAGGGGTCTTAGCTACATCCCCGGTCACAGTCTGAATAATATTTTAACCACACCAGCATCATCCTCATCGTCCGTCGCGTCTGGGAATGCGAATTCACCATCCGTACCCACACGTCATCGCGCAACTTCACTATCTGCGAATTCCCCTTTTGTCATAACAACAGATAAAATTCGCCCGGATTGGGCTCAGAAACTCCAAACGGCACGTGCACAGATAGCTAGGAGATCTGCAGCCGCAACTGCGTTGCACACAGCTGCGTATTTATCGCGTAATACCAATGATTCTAGAGGTACGGGAAGCAATAGAAGGCGTATGTTCAGACGAACAACTGGTCATGGATCAGACAACACAACTAACCAAACTGGCTCTGTTGCTCTCTTGACTGAGCGACGGGCTTCTACTACAGGTCGCGAAAATGAATCTCCAGCGAATAGTATAATCAATGTAGCTCCTGCTCGCGCCAGCACGAGACGGAGTAGAATGGACGAGCTCGAGGAGATGATGATGATGGAAGCTATAAGATTGAGTCTTGCGTCTGAAGAGGAGAGGAGAAGAAAGGAAGAGAAGGAAGCCAAGAGGGAGGCCAGGCGTCGAGAAAAGGAAGCTAAGAAAGCAGAGAAGTTAGCCAGGAGGACTGGTCTTGACAGCAACAATCCTAGCTCCACGGCTTTGGACGCTGCTGGGAATAGAGCAGATGGCGCTGCTACCAACAAGCCGCATCCATCTAGTACAGCACATGATCCATCGAGCTACAAAGGTAAAGGTGTTGACCGGCCCGAAACTCAGATTGAGCCTCCCCAAATCGATTCCCCATCTCCGGGCCCGTCGAGGCAAAGTGTAAAGTCCCCTGGTGATGATGAGCTTGGCTCTATTTTCGGTTCTCCATCGAATGCCGCGGCCAAACGCTCGCATCTCCGATATATCTCAAGTGCCTCATCTTCGGATTCATCTTTAGTCGAATCTACTTCTGGTGAGCAGATAGGAACAAGTTTCGTTCCCAATGCCAGTAGTTCTGCTCTTGAACCCCTTCTAGGTTTCCGGAGTCTTGATGCCGTCATTGGCGATGAAGATAAAGGAAGCAGCTCTAACGATCACCTCGAGCGCGTGAGGCCAACGGAGCCTGTGAAATTCGATGATTATGCGACTCCATCTATCACCAATCCAGCGCTGGAGCAAAAGCCAGCGTCGACCCAGGAAAACACCTCGTCGATTTCACAAGGTCCAAGCTTGAGTAAGGATGAGAGGGATCTTGCTGATAAAGAGCTGCAGGCAAATTCTGTGGAAATTGTGCCAGAAGGCAGTAATACTATGGAGGCGGCAAGTTGAGATAGGCCTCCTCTCACAGGGAAGTCCGATTGCTCGGCGGTAACTGGCTGCTCCTTTTTTACTTTTAACAGCCACTTTATTGCCTAATCCTACTTAACTTTTACCTGACTCCTGGCTCCTAAATTTAACACCTTCAAGAATCCACTTACTCTCATCCCCATGCTTATTCATCTCTACTCCACAAACCTGCCCAATTATTTCCTATGTTATCTTTATGATGAAAAACCCGAAACGAATACGTATGCATATGGTTTTACCAAGCGCAAAGCTATTTTTTGCCCCCCTGCCTTTGGCCTTTTTCCTTTATGTTTTGCTTTTATTTTATTTTTACTCATTTTCTTCATATCGATCACTCGTTCCCTACTGTATATGGGCGCTGGCGGCTTATGTCTGTGTCTGGTCTTTAGTTCACATGGATCTGGTAGTATTGCTTTTCTGTTTGGTTTTATTTTTTGAAGTTGCCTGTGGCAGAATCACGGCTTAACCATCATAATAGCTACCACCTCTCCCCTGATTGTTTCCTTTGCTTCCCTTTGAGAGTGTGTCCGTTTGACTTTTTATGTTTTATGGCTCCTGTAAATGTAGATAAAAGCCACTGCTACTCTCTTATAGAGGCTATGCTATTTCCTGTGCTTCTGATATACATTCATATTGCGCAAAAAAAGCTAGTTCGCCATTAAATCGAACACACGTTTAAGATATACCTCTTTGCAGGGCACATGTTCCATTGGTAGCTAAAACCCACTACATATTTAAGTAGGTGCATGCTCACAGTTTCTTGGAAGCAGGTCAGGGTGATAATAATATCTGCAGCTGCATAGACAATTTACATGAGAGGAATCCCCAGGTTACTGCAGCGACTAGATATCATGTGGAAGCCTGATTCAGCGGTCAATCATAACTATATGATGCATCCCAAGCAAGAATGTATTTATTAGCATGCTAATGTTTCTAGCATGTCCTATATCGCCTTTCTTCAAACTGAGCACCCTGTCCAGTCCCAATACTTACGGTTTATCTCCACTTTTCCAAATAAACGAAAAAGTGACTTCACCATTCGCGCACCTTGACGGCAATCCAACTTCTGGAGATCTAGTTCTTGGCTAAGGGCGATCGGGGGCTGGTGGTCCTGTGTGATGGAACGGCTGTTAAAGCCCCGTTGAGATATATAGGCAGAAGTGATGATGAAGTGGATCGATCTTAGCATTGAAATCATCCAATGTGAGCAGGATGTATATCGATGGCTAGGACACTGCGATGGTGTGGTCCCCTGCAACAGCACTTCAAAGACAACCATTCACCTCCATGGCAAATGGCGGCCTACGTACAATATTTAAAGGAAAACCAACCCCCCTAAATCCCATTTTCAACTTTCATGGTTCGGCCAAAATGTCTCGCACCCTTGGTCATATAAATGGGCGCGCCGCTGTTACTGTAGCAGATATTGCCAGTCGCAATTTTCTCCTTGCATCTAGATTTGCGATTTTACAGAGTGATCCATTTTGCCTCTGGTTTCCTGGATACCAACATGGAGGCTGTTGACGACAATGTATATTCTGATCAGACAGATATTGGAATATTATGAGCTGGTATTTATTGGGTTGTAACTGGAGAGTGTTCTGGGTTTGATCTATTCAAGGATCCCCCCCTGGATGCCTCCGAAGCGACGTTGTCACGAAGGACAACTCCCACTGAGCACCGGAAACATCTGGCTCGGATCGATCATTCAGAAATGTTGGACCAACATGGTGCATTTCTCAAAGTAGACTGTCTTTCAGAGACATCGGATTCCATCAGCGTGGATGGTCACTCTGCTCAAGCAGATGAGAAAAACAGGAGTTTTGCCAGTCAGAGAAGAGGGAATGAACACAAGGTGCTGTCTGACCCTTCAAAGATCATTCAAATTCCTTCATCGTGAACAGCTTACTTCTTTTCGTCACAGAGAAACAGCTCGATACATCTCATCGACATGAGAGATCCAAGTCGTGATACTGGACGGTGAAACTGCTCTTAGTAGATATGACACGGTTCTATATATATACATATATACATATATTCGATCTAACACATCAAACGGGGAAGTAGAGAATTTGGTCTGTTCATCATTCTCCACAGCAAATTCTCCTAGTTCAGCCGTCTTAGTCCAGCTCCAGCCCGTGATAGGTCCGAATGTCTCTTCTTCTCAAGCGTGTCGACCGAATTGCACTACACATGAAAAGGGAAAGGAAGAATACTGTGGATGGATGACTGCTCGGTATATTATGATGTTGAATAACCCCCTAATTAATATCGAGCATATCTATATGGGCAAGGGATGTGAACGCCCCATTGAATTAATCAAGCCCACTCACTCTACACCAGGGCACGTACGTCTGCAGGCAGCTGAAACAGTCTCAAATGACATTAACCTGTCAAGTAAAACAACAACACGGCAGAGCAGGGCTGGACAGGGAGTCTTATTAATAATTAAAAGTAGTTGTTTGCCTTGCTGCCCAGGAGGGCCTTGTAGGAAAATCACTTAATAAGACAATAATATAGTTATAGAAATCCCCAAAATTAATAATAAAAATAAAAAAAAAGGGCTCACAGCGCAAGGATCTGACCATCCCCTTTCGCAAGGCCTGGGTTAAAAGGTAATCAGCCAATAACAGTCTGTTATCAATTCAGGTGTTGGCATTCCAGCCCCGATTAACAAGAAATGATTTGTCGAGTGAGTCAAAGAACCAAATAAATGTTCCAAGCCGTTAATTAATTACACATTTAGAGTCTCCTCAAGGTTATTTATTATTAAGAAGATTATTACGTCGATCCCGTATCCAAGTGAATGACAAGTCTCTTACCTGGGCACCGTCCTTCAACGTCTTCTTGACCCGGTTTGGATCATAATAAGAGAAAAAGAAAGGGAAAAAAAAATAAAAGGAAAATGGCTGCCTATTGACTCTAAGACCACACCCACAATTCTCCCCCGCCGACTGACTGGTTGGCTGACTGGACTGGTCTTATCGATGAGTTGACTGCTGCCCTGCGACGCCTTCAATCAACCTCTGGACGCTTTGATCCCAGTACATACTCCGACGTCAGCGATACTCAACAACCAGCGATACATACTCCTCAGACACCAGCAGACACCAGCAGACACCAGCAGACATCAGAAATTGGGATCTGGCCGCAGATACTGCCTCAAATGAGCCAATTGGAAGCTTTCCATCCAGTCTCTGCCTCTTGAGCTAAATGCCCAACGGGCCCCCCGGTATCCACTAGATATCTAGTTCAGACAACCTACTTAAAGTCGGATTCCCCTCAAAGAAAATATCGGATACATCCTCATCATTATTAAGTCAATTGTTATTATTGTGAGAAGGAAGAAAAGAAAAGGAAAAGGGAAAGAAAAAAAAAAAAAAACCACCACCACCACCACCAGACATCTACGATGGCTCCCGATCTAAATTCTGTTCCTCCGTCCCCGCTACCCCGAGGCACCACCGGCTCGACTTCATCTCAACCTTCCCTCTCAGCATCTCGACGTGTCTCGCAAGTCATGGGCCCACCTCCAATTCCTCATTTTCCCACATCTCCCAGTGTGCCTGTGGGCGATAATACTGGTGTGGGAATGGGACCAGGTACATGTCCTCTACACGCGCTTACATATCTCTTTCCCGGATTTTACTGCGTACTAACAGTGTCGACTTTTCTACCAGGTCCACTCCGACATCCTCGCCCTCTAACGGTCGCTGATCTACATTTGGAGTTAGAAAAAGAGCAGGAAGCAGTAGTACGTGAAAATCTCCTTTGTCGAGCATAACCGTATATCTGTCGAGAGCCACCTCTGAACGAACATGATAACAGGTCAATCGCCTCACACGGGAACTCACTCTCCTCCGCCAACAGACAGCCTCAGTAGCATCAACTGCATCCTCAACGTCAACAAACGTCAATGACCCGTTGGATCCGCAACATCCAACGCCATCACGCCACCGATCGTCTTCCAGCATTAGTTCTCGGAGCATTGCGGGCGCGACATCAGGAGCCTTGGCAGGAGGGGTAACAAGTATTGCCCCATCTCGCGAACGAGACACACCATCCTCCTCGCGGCCGTCCCTAGATATAGCCCGGGGAAGCCTCAGCCGTGAGGCATCCGTCACGTCACGCCGACGATCTGGCAATGCCTCCCCATCCCTCTCCTCGTCGTATCAGCCACACAACGAGCCTTTCCCATATCATCTTTCTAACACCAGCTCTTCCCACACCTCATCGCACCCATACTCCAACTCCCATCGCCCTTCATTAACATCCCATGCCGTCCCAAACCCAACCTCCCAACCACCTGCCACGACAGACCACGCACGATCCGGCTCCATGTCATCTCCCGCAGCCATGTCACGGTACGAAGAGGCTGCCCACCACCGCGCGGAACTGGAAGCCGTCAAGCGCGAAAATGAAATGCTTCGCCGTCGAATTCGAGAGCTAGAATCCAGTCTGAGGGATTATCGACAACCGCAGTCCCCTCGACAGCGTATGGAGAGCTCTGGAGCTACGTCGAGTCTCACGACAGGTCTGCGCGAAGCGTCGATTGCTGATCCATTGTCAAGCAATGAAGCCCAGGTGCCGTAAAGCGGCATTTCTCTGGGGCAGATTTTGCTTTAAAAAAAAAAGAAAAAAGAAAAAAGAAAAGAAAAGAAAAACAAGAAAAAAACCCACACGCCGATAAATTGGCTATCCTTCACCTATATGACCATCAACCGCTACCCGATTACCATTTTCAATTTATGCTGCAGCTGCCACGGGGAGGACGGGCGGCTAGTCCAGTCTAACAAACCAAAACATAGTTATCCCGCGATCTCAGATTGATATCCAACCACAGTCTTATGCCCTAGCCCGTTTCTAATGACCTTACTTTTCTCATTTTTTTCATTTTTTCATTTTCTTTCCTTATTTTATTTTATTTTTATTTTTGGCTTTTCTCTCTTCTTATTTTCTTCACGATCCTATTTCTTTTTCGAAAATATGATAGGTTGTTTTTTTATATATTTTTTTTTTTGACAAAAACTATATGTGATTTCTTAATTTCTGTTTCCCAGTTTTAACTGAATTGACGAAGTATCTGCTTTGAAAATGAACTCCGTTTAATGTACTGTATTGTGCTTGTAAGATCCATCCTCGAAGGATAAGACCCCTGCATTTCCTCCCGGAAGCACAGAGCACAGAGCACAGAGCACGGAGGAGTACACAATGCAAATAAGATACAGTCGTTGGCCTCCGCGTTGTCGTAGCTTTGACGAACATGCACGGAAGTACCCTCCAACCGGTTTTAATGGGGTGCGGAACCTCGCAAAGCTCTACGTCAGACTCCTGTGGCTGGATGTGGCTTGATCACCTGTTAATGCGCCAAGTTGGGCCAAGTGGCGCAGTCTCAGGTTCCTTCCCTTCACAAACCTGTTCCTATTTAACCGCGGCGGATTCCCCCGACGTCAGCGTTTGGATGATTTTGTATTATTTTCTTATTCTGCTGGAAACCAAAATTTCTCACCGCAACAGTATACAGAAGCAAACCCTCTTGTCCACTGCTTACATCTCTGCTTGCTGCCATTATCGTCAACCATGTCCTCGCATACCACCGTTCACGTTTCGGATATCTCGCCCAAGACGACCGAGAAGGAGGTGCGGGACTTCTTTAGTTTCTGGTATGTCCCCTCTATTTCCTATCTCATTCGTTATGGGCGGAACATATATCCCAAAACTTGGCCGGTTGTCCTTCATTTTGACCTGTGTCGATTCTTTAGAATATTACAACAGCTAACGATCTATATCCCAGTGGAAAAATCACTTCTCTGTCAATTAGCCCAAGCTCAGGAGAGCCAGATGCTCCTCAATCTGCAACAGTGACGTTTGAAAAGGAAGCGTGAGTCGTCCACGAACAAATCTCCCCAAATCCCCCCCCCAAAATACCCTCGACCAATCCCACAACGGGATGGGCCTTTTAAATCTTGGTCACAGCGTATTTACTTTACATCATCCAGCGCCGCTAAAACCGCGCTCCTACTCGACAACACCCAGCTCGGTCAATCCTCTGTCAAAGTGACCGGAGCCGCAAACATCGACGACCTCGCTGGCGGTAGATCCACCGACGCCTCTGAAGCCAAAGATGAAAACAACCACCTGCTCGAGCAAGAAGACAAGCCCCGCTCACGGATAATCGCCGAATACCTCGCGCAGGGCTACAGAATCAGCGATACGGCCATCCAAAAGGCCATCAGCCTCGACCAGAAACACGGCTTCTCCGCCAAATTCCACCAGATCCTTAGCGACTTCGACTCCAAGTTCCACGCCACCGATAAGGCCAGGGGCATCGATTCTAGCTACGGCATCACTGATAAGGCTGCCAGTGGTCTGCGGGGGCTGTCTTCGTATTTCGAGAAGGCCCTGGATACGCCCACGGGACACAAGATTCGGGATTTCTATCTGCAGAGCGATAAGCAGATTAAGGATATTCATCATGAGGCGAGACGGTTGGCGGATTTGCAGAATGGGAAGGCGCATAAAGAGCATGCGGATGTGACGCAGCCAGAGAGAACGGCTCCTGCGAATTCTTTGGGAGAACCTGCTGCTGCCACGGATGAGCCGAAAAAGGCATGAATCAATGGATGGCGGTTGTCGTTAGGGGGTGTTTTCATTATTAATAGTTATGTCTTTCATGAAAATTTTCACGAATGAACTTCATTGTTTCTCCAGCATCCTTATAATACGACAATTGCTCAAGTCCAGAGACTCGCGCAGTTCCCAAATTTTCGGTTATTCGTTTTACTCAAAAATTATTACCCTGTGTTTTATTCCCAATTTGGTAGTATGATATGATACAATACATATAGCATGAGATGACAATGACAATGCATACGAGATAACGTAGTTAAATTAAAACACAAAGCGCAATCGATTGAATCCCTTTTAACCCCTCACAAAATCCACCCTCACCTCATCCCCACAACCCCCTTCTCCAACTTCCTCCTCGACTCCTCCTCGAGCGGATGCACTGGGTTACTCAGCAACCTCACATTGCACCGACTATCAACAGCCGCACCGGGAACATCGCCACTACCAGTACGTCGACCAGCTGCAAGGTTCTCCATTGGCTGCTCTGCATCCGACCCGTGTCCGTCTGTGACAGTTTGTTCCGCCTTTCCGGTCCAGCCCGGGATGTCGGATTCCTGGGGCCCCGTTTGGCGAGATGGAGATGGGGATTGGCGGCCAGCGTTGGGGGCGGACATTTTTTTTTTTTTTCTTTCTTTCGCGGTTTTTGCCCCTGTTATATGGGGTGGCTTGCATGTATGTGTATGCGTATATAAGTGGCGTAGAAGCTTGGATAGGCCGGGTATTCTTTGTTGGAGGTCACGTAGGAAGACGCAATGTGTGTGGTTCTTCTTTTGATAGACATAGGGCTAGATATCGTAGTTGACTAAAACCCTTTCTTTTCTTTTCTTTTTTTTTTCAAAAAATCTGAATAGGAATACCCTGTTTCGGTAAGTATAAGCAAAACGGGGCGTTAGGGGCCTCCGATTAAATATATGGCTGTGGAGTTGTATGATATCAACTTTTAGAAGATTCAAAGCTCTGAAACCTACAGGCATTGGGGCGTTTTGACGAGATTGGTGCAACAACCAGCCATCATGATGACGTCGGGGGTGATAAAAGCTGGAACCCAACCCCAGATTGACTAAGCAATTCAATCATCAAAACACCGAATTTTTTGAAGTACAGGTTGTTGAAAGGAGTTGGAACTGGACTTCGGTTAAATCATCCCAGTCATTCAGGCATCTATTGGAATAGCCATTGTCCCAGCTAATTCGCAAGTATATATATACACACAAAAGCAAACAAAACACACACACACACAAAAGCAAATAAAACAAAACAAAACAAAACAAAATAAAATAAAATCTCATTGTATCCGAATCCTGTCTTTGCAGGTTGAGCTCAAATCCAGCAAGCGTTTTTAAACAAGTGAGATATAAATCTGGGCATTTCGTTAGGTAATAAATTGCAGCACTTAGTAGGCAAAATGAGGCGTATCACAGACTGGGTTCGGAGTGAATCGAGGAGGACTAAAAGGGTGAGAGAGTATAGAGAGGAGAGAGGCTGAAGGTCCGACATCGGTTCAGTTGAATGTACAATGTGGTATAAAAAAAGGAGTGGGAGGGGGAACGGTGATTGCCTTTGGGATTTTACTGAGAGGGACTGGGTAAAAAAGGGGAAATATGGCTAATGAGTCGAAAGGGGAAAAGGGGGGCAAAGGGGGGGAAGGAAGACAACAAGATGGCACAAGAAAAGAGCAGAAAAGCGAAAAGAATTTATATATAGCATATGTCCATTCTGAAAACAGCCAATTCCTGCACATATGAAAAATGGTATATAGGTGAACAACGTTAACGCTAAACAGGTAATTGTAGCTAGAATAAGGACAAAAATGAATTAAACAAACAAGGCCGTCCTTTTCGAAGTCCGTTGCCGCCTTTTTTTTCTTTTTTCCCTTTTCCTTTTTCTTTTTTTTATATTTTTTTTTTTTACTTTTTGTTTTCTCTTGCCAGATCAGGCTTCGCTATTTGCCTTTGCCGTCGCGGCTGCAGCTGCAACGTTCGCATTCCCAAAAGCCAATGCCTTTGCATCTGCTTCTTGGACAACAGTTTGAATGATCTGTTGCTCCTCTGCATTGAGAATTTTCGTCAGGGTCTCGTAGAGGACGGGTTGTTCTTGTTGTAGACCTGTTGTGAAAAGAGTGTTAGGACATTCCATAGAAGCTGTTGTGGATAACATAAGAGGCATGAAGAAAACTTAAAAAACATACCCATCAAAACAGCCTTGAAAAGGCCATATGGCTCCACCTTGTCCAACGGGCTTTCAAGCAAACCTTCCTCATCAAGTTCTTCATCTTCGTCACCGGGCATCGATGCGTATTTCATAGCCTGTAGTGGATAATGTTAACAAACACAGTGATGTCAATAGAAGTATTCGGATGAAAAGAAATGCAAGTTTACTTCTCGGTTTAAGAACTCTACATAAGACTGGCTTTCATCATCTAGATCTCTATCTGGACCGTCAGCTTCATCTTGTGCTGTCCACTCAACCTCTCCACTCCAATCGTTGTTCGAATCGTCATCATCGTCATCGGCGTCATTATAGCTGTAATCGACCTCCTTTGAAGTTTCTTCGCGGTCTGCTATTGATTAGAATACAAGTTTCCTTAAAATATATTAAGAATGGAACAAGAAGGGCACATACGCTTCAACGCAGCTGGGAGAGTTTGGAAAAGCTTGCTAATTCCCTGGAGGAGACGAGGCCAGCCTGGTTGCACGCTTGCGGGCACATCAGCTGCTCTCAGGGTCAATAACGAAGTGATAGCAACGATGCACAATTTCTTGTCATGGACCCTGTTGAAGATGTCGATGTTGGAGAACCAGGTGCTGAAGAATTTGTTCGTCCATCCCTTGGACTCCAGAACTTGGAGTGCTAACAATGGGTTATAGTATATTGAATTGATAACCATCTCCATCAAGTGGATGCGGTAAGATTTGGCGTGTGTTTCATCCGAACTTAAGACGGTCATTGCCAAGGATATGAACGTTGGGATGAATTGGTCGACATGCCCTCGAAGATTGAGCATTATAGCCTCTGCAAGCTTGCAACCACAAATTCTATCAACACCTCCAACCTTCTCGTCGTGGAAAATGTCGTCAACCATGCTAACTAGGGCTTGAAGATAGACAGGGTTTTGTGCCAGTGTAGCTGAGCCATATGTGACGAAATTATCCAGAGCCGGTAGCATATCTAGGACGGAACATATGAGTTTAGTAGAAAGCAAAAGTAAAAGGGGTTTTTTCCGAGTCTAACCTTCAAGATACAATTCAGCTCCAGATTTAAATGTTTTATGCATGAGAACAAATGCCTGCCACATGGTGGGAGATATAGATTTGGCAGCAAAAGTGCAAGAATCAATGATTTCAAAAACCTCGGTGTACAAATCTGTATTATTTGTAGTTAGCACCATGTCGCTGTACGCACAAGTATAGAAACGACTTACCATAAAGTTTATTTTCAAGAGTAATAGTGATAACAGGCATCAAAATAGTTTCTAAGTGCAAAAGCACATCCGGTGTGCTTTCTAGGGTCAGGATCAAAGTTCCGATGGTCTGGAGCACGCCCAATGCAGTAATACTCTTGTCATCTAGGAAATCACCGTAAATATCTTCCTCGGGCTTGGAAGTATTTTTTCGCTCATCGAGCATATCTCCAATAATTCGCATATACGTATCCCTCAACTGCTCGCACAAAGCGACGGCGAAAGGAGTCAGTTCTGTGGAGAAAACCTCAACAAAATCCTCCATGACACCTGATAACTGATCCAGGTCAACTTCATTTGAAAGCTTGAGAAGTTGTTGCATGATCTGTGGAATATTAGTCTGCATGGAGGTCCGGATAGCATCGTGGCGGATAAGAGGTTGAAGAGCCAATGCAGCTTCCACTCTCACAGGAAGTTCAGGATCGGCCAATGCTTCCAAAATGTTCCTGTAAACCACCATGAGGTTGTTGGGGTCGGTAAAGTCCAACTCACTAAACTTTTCCAAGGTGTCGCAAGCCCGGGCACGGAGATAGCCGTGAGGACTCTTGAACTCGGGGAAGACGTGGCGAACAAAAAAGTACTCTACCTGGTCCGCGATGGGGCTCTTTTTACCCAGAATAACGGAAGCGAGGGTTCCAATCATGCGAAGAGCGCCCTCCTTTTCCCGAGGAAGCTTCTGGTCATCCGGGGAAGTCTCATACTTGCTGACAACACCATTGACGAAACTTAGGATGGAAAACGTCTGTTTCTTCCGGCTCTGTGTAAGTGCGACAAGGAAGTTGGTGGCTGCAACGTCTGGCGCAGAAACCTCCTCATAAATATTCAGTTTTCGATGCAGGTATTCCGAAGGATCAGTCTCAAACAGCTCAATATCTTCGTCGGACTGGCACAAGACTGGGAAAATCAGGTGCTGAACAAGATTGTCCAAATGAGGTTTCAAATGGTCCCACGTCGCCTTGGGTTTGACACAGTCTTGCAAGAATACCAAAGTGTAGGAAAGCGCAGGCTTGCTTAACCATTGGCCATTCACCCATTTATCGATTTCCCCCAGATAACCTTTGAGAATTTCTGGAGCGAAAGTGGTAATAAAGGACTTCGCGTATTGTGTGTAATTTGTTGAATTAGTTTTCCCGAGAAGACTGGGGTTGCCGTATCTGCCAACGAATCACCGGGTTAGATTGTCTGTTACCCCCGAAAATAACCTACCATGAACATACCGAACAAACAGGCGGTTCAAGTTGGCATATGAACATTTCTTGGCCTTCCACCAGTGGTTAAGCTCCCGTTCGTCAGTGTTTTCGAGCATAGAACTCGCTGGAGGGATTTTCCCAATGACTCTCAAGAACAGAGAACACCAGGCCACCGTCGCTTGATGGGTCATCAAGAAATTTGGCAGTTCAAACTAGATTAACCGATAAGAAAAGGAATTCCACGTCAGCCAGATCAACCCAAGATTAGCCAGCCCAACAATCTCTGGAATAAAAGTCCCTTAACCCACATAGATAGCATTCTTATATGCCTTGACAACAGTCCGCAGCATCTCTCCAGCTTCAATACTTTCCTCATCGATAAGACGAGTCCCAATATCCAGAAGTCGAGGGAACGAAACTTCCACCACCTTTTCGAAATCCCCCCTCTTATCACTAGACTTGAATCTGTATACGCGACATATTGCCAGCAGGCACTGCAAACCTGCAAAGATGGAGTTTGCATCGTTCGTATTGAGTAGCTGGAGGGTCACGTCCATGTAATCGGGCCATTTCGTAGGGAAATCATACTGGAGGACCTTGGAAAGAGTGGGAGCCAGTTGAGATCGAACAGCGGGGGGGGAGGATGCAAGGAGGGGTATGATACGCGCTCTGAACGGAGTTCGATCCTGGTCTGGGATAGGTTTGTGGATTGGTTGTTCTTCAGCAGGGGCCCATCCTCTGGAGACTCTATTCTTCAGGTAGACAACAGCTGAGAGGAAAAACAAGCTCCAAGTCAGTGATCAGAATACCGAAATAATTTCACAATTGATGAAATATGGTAGGGTAAAGATGTGTGTTTGTGAATGTGTGCATGCATAGCATATGTATAAAAAAAACAGATGTGAATATAAAATAATGTGGGGGGAGGGGGGGTTTGATCCCTTACTCGATAGTCGAACTCCATTGTCTTGTTCTGCCTGCAAGATATCGACCAGCGCATTTATAAATCCAGGCTGCTCTTCGGCCTAATTGTGCGGAAAGAGTCAGCATACTCCAAACGATACCTATATGTACGTCTATATATAGAGAGAGAACCAAGTGACGCACATATTTCAGGTCCGCCTCGGCCTGTTGTCGAGCCTCCGCGTTGGTGTCGAGGGTGGCCTGGATACGTTCTCGGAGAGCTGCTACATCCATCTCGCGCTTATAACAACCTCCAGCGCCGGGCCTGAAGACAGAACTAGAATTCCAGATCTTATAAAAGCTGGCCGTGGCCCTGGTGTAGGATATGCGGCGGAGAATGGCTGATTGAGGTGTGAAGATGAAATAGTGGTGGGTTTCTTTGAAGGGTTGTTGGGTAGAAAAAGTTTAAGAGAAAGGACACAGACCGACGGGGGACCGCAGTTTAAAATTGAGGTTGGTGCTTTTTGTAACTTATTTTTTATTAATTTTCTTTTTATTTGATGCTCCTTAGTAACAGGAACATCAGCAAACATCGTTTTGCTTTAGCCAATTCTGGGAAACTCCAACAATTCCAAACATAATTAATAAAATATGCCTACAAATTGTATATATCTGAATGCAAGATTCCGGGTATTTAACTCAATTATTTACTTATTTATTTTTTTACTACTATCATGGACGGAATCGATTCTCTAGATTTTCAAAATTCTCAAGGGTTTGACAGATCTAATTTTATGTGTACCCTTACACACGCAAACATCCACACGCAGTTATTAAGCACCAGATCAACGTTCAAATATGACCCTGGCCATTGAGATTGCTGTCAAAACACAAACATTGCAGACCTAAAACATCGACAGATGAAGCAGCCAATGTGTATCTCATTAGATATTCCCTTCACATGTAAAGTGATGCCGCAAATATCACGTCGCGTTTGATCATCTCCTGGGCCCGCTGCATCTTGCTATACAGGGTCGGGTCGCCTACCAGCTTCGCAGCACTCTTCACCTCCCGACATGTTTCGTCCAGCCGAGTGATTACACGGACAATTGTGCCTTCCATCACATCGGTCAGGTCGGTGATCCGGTTGAATGACATTCCACGTGCCCATTCATAGACGACCTCGACTAGGCTGAACCGTGGCTTGCTTGCAAAGTCGTTGGAGTCCTCACTCGATAAAATGACCTGGTGCTTGATTTGGAAGTCATTTACCTTCTCCGATATCTTGATGATGGCCTCTTTGCCCTTTTCAAGCCGTGGTGTTAGCAAAGGTACGCTTTCGGTCTTCTCTTGGAAGACGAAGGCTGACAGCAGAGCAACGATCTCCTCTGGCTCGTATTCTGCGAGCAGATTTTCCAGAATCAATTCCGTCAGGACCAGTTCGTCGGCTGAATGAATCTACAGCCAGAGCTTTGTTAGTCATGGCCTGAAAATAAAAGGAATTAGCTGGATGAATTACGGGACCACCTACCTCGCAGGCTACCTTTCCTTTCAATTGGACTCGACATGCCTCGTCAACGAAACCAAGATCCTTGAGGACCAAAAGACGCTGTTCGTAGTCTGGTAGAAGTTGCAAGTTCTGGTCCGACATTAATTGTTTTAATTGCGATATGTTCTCTTTCACCTGCCATTCGTCATGTTGCATTTCGAACTGTCCAAGTATCAGTATTATCCAATTAAATAAATCTTCAAAAAATTACGAGACGTGTTTCCAAACTCACATGTTTCAAAAATTGCGGGCATCGCAGACATTCGCAGGCTTCAATGATAGCCTCCTGTTCCTTTCGCTTATTTAAGATCTCGACCACTTGAAGTTCCTTCACTCGGTCCCACTCCAATTCATTCCAAGAACTAGTTTTCCACGAGCAACAAATCGGGACAAGGTCCTTTTGTGCAACTTTCAATGCCTCTGCAAGAAGTCAGCCACAAATACACAGAAGGGATTCAAACATCCCTGATTGGATATGCTTACCTTTCTTGATATTTAAATACCAAGTCGGACCCCCTATTTTTAACACTGTCGAGGTTACACATTCAAGATCCTCAAGTGCGATTTTGTACGTTTTCAGCACCATCTCAAAAGGCTCCGTTGAGAGTGGAGAAAACAAATGTCGAAACTCTGGAAGGTATGGAAGAATATCACTCGGATGTCGGCTGGATTTCATTGGACCAAATTCGAACACCTGCAGACCAAGATTTGGTCCAGGAGCCACGCCTTCTCGCACGAGCAAACCAACCGTTCTGATTCCATTCTATGAAAGAAAGGGAAAAGTTAGTGGAAGGTTTTCAAAATTGGGACTCAATATGTCTCCCTCACCCTTTTAAACACAACCACTCTCTTGGCTGAGAACAGTCGCCGCCCCATCGGGGATGAAAGGAGATTGACATGAAGTTGAGCAGTTAACCGCGAGAACTCCACGGCGGCTTCATGACAAGCTTCCATGTCATTATCACAAATGGCGCATGGCTCCCGTTTTATTTTCTCCAGTGTAGCTTCAGACACTTGTACTTGCTTCTGGTGTTCCGGGAGGAGTGCCTGCGTTGCATTCTCACTGAAGCTTCTTTTGATCATTTCTTCAATCTTCAAGGCTTCTACCCGCAGCAGATTCAAAATCATGTTATAGGTAAGGCGAAATTGCGATCGAAGCTTCGTCGGATCGCCCAAAATCATGCGACGAAGGGTACCTGCAGGTGGCGCTTCATCCTTGCCAGACGAAACAATAATCACAGACCCGACAGTATCAAGCCCACGCCGTCCCGCTCGCCCTGCCATTTGGGTATATTCACCTGGAAGTAGGTCTCTGAACGATCGACCGTCATGTTTTCGAAAACCAGAAAATACAACGGTCCTTGTAGGGAGGTTCAAACCCATGGCAAAAGTTTCTGTCGCAAAGAGAACTTTCACTAAGGTTTTTGCGAATAATATCTCCACGATTTCCTTCATAATTGGCAAAAGACCGCCATGGTGGACACCAACGCCTCTGCTCAGCAGCTCTCTGACACGGCGAATTTGTGGTAGGATTCTATCCTCTGGCTTTAGTCGGGCCAGCGATTTCTCAACAATCATATGAACAGAGCTCTTTTCCGCCACCGTGCAAAAATCCTGGTTCGACAAAGAATCCGCATTTTCCTCACATCTTTTCTTGGAAAATACAAAAACACATGCTGGCAGCAGATTTTCCTTTCGCAGATGTTGCACAAGATGAACCCAGATATGTCGGTCCTGTGCTACCGTCGTTCGTCCACCGCCTCGGCCTGTTCTAGCGATATTGCCGGTTCCACGAGATGCAGGTTGGCCTCTGCCCCTCTGTTGTGCACCCCCTCTTTGTTGTTGAGCGCCACCACGTTGGGTCCCTCCACGTTGGGTGCCTCCTCGTTGGTTTCCACGTTGTGGCTGCCCACCACCACGACCTCTATCTCCATAGCCACCTCTATTGTGATTGGGCTGGGATTCTGTAGCCTTCTGAGCATGAGCTTTGTCGCGCCCAGATAAAATGTCATCTGCTTTTTTCCATCCTTTCTCAATAAAGTTCTTGTTCGAATCGACGATTTTCAGCATGCTTTTATCAGCCCATAGGTAATGCTCCAATGGGACTGGGCGCTTGGGGGTTGAAATAACGTAGATATCCTTCTTTTTAGTACGGCCAACCCAAGACGCAAATTCGTATGTGTTTGGAACCGTGGCGGAGAGTAGAATAAGCGTAACGTGCTCTGGAAGCATAATTATAACCTCCTCCCAAACCACACCTCTTTCCAGATCATTCACATAGTGAACTTCGTCAAAAATGACGAATTCCACATCGCGAATAAGATCAGCTCCGCGATAAAGCATACTTCTGAGGATTTCTGTGGTCATAATCAAGCAGCTTGCCTCGGGGTGAATTTGTACATCCCCTGTCAGAATTCCGACATCCTCAAATGTATTTCTAAAGTCACGGAACTTTTGGTTACTCAAGGCCTTTATCGGAGACGTGTAGATAGCCTTAGTCATGTGTTTGGAAGCGAGCGCAATCGCATATTCTGCCACCACAGTCTTCCCAGCAGATGTGTGAGCGGCAACGAAAACGGAATCTCCATTCTCCAAATGATATACTGCTTCTTTTTGAAAGGTATCCAGCTCGAACGGCCATTCTCGTGCCATATCGGGTACCAAATCGTAAAAGTTTGTAATCTCTTTGTTAACATCCACCACATGAGCCCACTCTTTGCCTCCTCTCTTCGAAGAGGGCGCCAGAAGTGGACCTCTTGGCTCCAAAGCTGGATATTCAACGGGTAGTAAAGAATCGATGTCTTCTTCCTCCTCATCAGTAGTGGACAAGTCCTCTGCAAGTGGTTCACTCATTTCAAAGTTCTTATCTGTGTCAGTGGGAGAACCCTCTCCAGTAATCTCATCAATAGCCTTATCGTTCTGCTCCAGAGTATTCTCCACCTCTTGAACATCCCCCTCCTCATCTTTGCTCTTCGCCTTCCCAAATTTCAATCCCCTGGAAAATCCCGGGGGCACCTCCAACAAACCACCTTCCACACCAAAGTTAATAATTCTATCCAACCCCAAGGACTTCCCTCCTGTAGCAGCCCGCCGCTCATCAGCTTGAGCCTCAGACTCAAGTTCAGCAATGGCTTCCACGCCCTCTAGCCCACCAGGTGCAAACGGGAAAAATCCAGCAGCACCGCGAACGAAATCAGCACGGCCTGCTGGCCGTCTAAGCAATGAGGTCGAGTTTTTTGCAGTAGCACTGCCCGAAGGGACAGTAACCTCACGATAACCAGTAACCCTACCTTCCAGACCTTCCCGGGTAAACCGGATAATGGTGCGGGTTTGCGGAGGTGCCAGCTCAAACAGATCATGGTAGTCCACGGGAACTTCCCATCGCCTAGATTAAACGCTATCAATTTTTGATTTTTGGCACATAACCGGATAAGGTGTATCTGCAAATATGGGAACATACTGTTGCAGCTTACTTAGCCACAGAGAACTAAATCGCGGTGATGGGTGCAGAAACTCCCTTTCCAGCTCTGCTTTCAACTTCTCGTCAGATTGCATTTCGCAGTTTCGACGCTGTGATCGAGGTCCTTTCCCGAATTGATTTGCTCCATCCGGTAAGCGTCCAGAATCTGCGCCAGTTATCCAACTGCCCAGACCATCACCATCGTCCAGCTTGTTTGTTGCTCCATGAACTCTCTGGACGGCATCCAGCAGGTCTGGATCCTCAGACATGTCTCTCAAAGTTCCTACCTCAAGAGCTTAAGGGAGGGGCACCGGGAATAAGGTGAAGCACTGATCTAGAGAGCTCTGGTTATCATTCCCAGGCAAAAAAAAAAAAAAAAAAAAAGAAAAAAAAAGAAAGAAAAAGAAAAAGGAAAGCCGTCTGTCTCTTCTCAGATCATCTTCTCAATACAGGATATAAACTGATCTTCTGATGACTTCTCTTTGCATCAGCAGACACCAGCAACCTTAGTAAAGTATGAGGAATGACTATTCATCTTCATTGCATACAATTTTTGTTGCAAAGCCCTTTTCGTTATATGCCTCAGATTTGTCCAGACTGTTGATTTGTGAAGTGGCACCGTTAGTTAACTAGGTTGATTTGGTGGTTCTGGTAATGACTAAGCCGTGCTTAACCCAACTGTAGTCGCCAAAACCTTATTTTAGACGCGCGTTACCACTTGCTTAGGGCCCGCATGGCTTTGAATAGGGGCTAAATTTATGGACCGTGTGTCAAGTTGGGAAAATAATACAGGCAAGCGGACGTCATTTTCAAAAGAGTTTGCTGGAAATCTACATATTGGGGGTGAGTTCAATCGAAAGACCAATTTCAACATACTACGCGCTAAGTCCATTCTCCTCACACAATATTACGGATTGAACTGGCATACCACTCCCTCCAAAACTAAATCCATCACTTTTGGTGGCATAAAGAAGCCAATTAAGAGTCAATCATTTCATATTCTCCAAAGGGACAGTATGTACATCCCTTGTTTAGAGAGAGAGAGAGAGACAAATTGACTGACAGGGAATCGAATGAACCTTGATAATGATATGAAAAAACGAAGGAATACTCCTACTTCCCCCAAGACAATTCTGCGATCCAAAACAAAGTCCCAAACACCCAGCGCCACTTGCCAGCCTGCGTTTTAGCGAAAACCAAGGCAAAGCACGGAAGCTAAGCATGAATAGACTCCTGCACCCTGGGATAAACAGCCACCAGGGATTCCCATAGATCCGGATGCTGAGTGACTAAAATCTCTGGATCCAACCCAATTGCCATAAACGTTGTATCCACCCCACTGGTTACCGGCGCCATATAAATTTTGCAGATCTGAAACCCAGAGAGGAACGCATATGCCATGACAGCAGACGTGAACGTCTCTCCCCTGTTGAAATCTGGCACAGTGTAGCCCAATTCAATGTACGCAAGAAAGGCACACAGGTAACCAACAAACAGAGAACCCATACTGATTGTAGCTCCAACAACACTATCGTTAACGAGGGCATCGATTCCGCGATGTTCCATCATTTGCCATGTGAATTTGGCAGCCGGTGAGTATGGTTTCCCGTAAAGTGCCACATGGGAAAAGGCATATCTGTTAAAACTTTGGGTTATGCGGCCAAGAAATTTCATGGCTACCCCCAAAACGCGGTTCGCAACCTCCTCAAGGGTATTTTGATCGACAGTCTCTTCCTGTCTGGGGATGATGGTGCACGCCTGGCGCAACATATCAACCGGCGCTACGAACAGGCTTCCGAGGCAGATGCTTCCGAAGGAGCGAGTCAATGCTCGTCCTAGAGCGCCTCTCAATGGTGCGCTCGGCATTGGATTAGAATTGCCGCCGTAGAAATACCAAGACCCGTACACTCCGGCAACAGCGGTATGCATAGTATTCTTCATCCACTCGGTCATCCAATAGGATGCAAACGTGATAAACGACGTAAGTGCGATGGTAATCACAGCTTTGCATTCTTGGTCCCTACATAGAAGGTTTGATCTCATTTCGTTGGGTTGGAAGGCAATGTAGACCGCAACGAGCGTCACAAAAAGCCATGCAGCAAAGGAGGTAGCGAGTATTCCTCCGATAAAGCTTACTAGATGAACCGCGACATGGCGCCTCGTGACCGTGGCTGCTGTTCGGAGCAAGAGTGTGGTGAAGGGGAACCGCGGTATCCAGCTCACGAAGTAAACAAGAGCAAGTCCCCCAAAAGTTACATGGGTAATCCCGCTGCCCCATTGCCTCCTATACATGTAGACAACTCCGATGCCCAAACCAAAACCGACATTAAATATCCCGGTGAACCACACCAACTGATTAGTGAAAAATAAGAAAATTTGATAGTATGCCATTGAAGCGGTAAAGGCGGTGGATAAGACAACCGAGAAAAGTATGAAGGTATTCATATCCAGTGCAATGGTATTTGTAGGATCGTTGATTGTGTGACCCTTGAAGTCCATGCCCTTCTCGAATCTGTCGATTACCGTAGACGATAGAGAAATAAACCCAAAAAGGGTGAGTAGAAACTAAGCCAAGTAGTTTCGAGGTCAGCATTGACTCATAGAACGGAATGAGAAATAGGAAGAGGAAGAATATGCGATGAACTAACCAATATGCCTGCCCATATATCATGGTACTCAGATTTGTAGAGTCTGAAGCCTTCCTTGAAAGTCAGTTCCTGTGGATCATCGTCGCCATCACCATCACCATCACCACCACCACCATCACCGTCACCGCCATTCCTCTTATTCCCAGAGAATATCGAGAGAATTCGAGACAGGTTGATTTTTCTCAGCGTCAATGTAAAGTTGCCCATGGAGATATTAATGGACGGCATTGAGAGAACCGCCCGCTTCTGCTTCTTCTTTGAAGCACGAGGCTGCTCACCACGGGGGTTTCTGCTTGGATCTGCATCTTGGGCAAGGGGTTGGGACATCGTTCAAATCATGTACATGTGGCAAGCGAGCGGCAGCCAAACACGTCAGGAATGGAGGAAGATATGAATAGTGACAGGTGACTCGGGTTGATAAACACGCAGAATAGAATCGGGTTCAGCAGTGAGGCTGGAAGCATAGACTGCAAACCGACATGGAGGAAGCGCGGCAAAAGTGTAACACGGGGGAGTGAGTAATGAGAGCTTTTTCTCTTTCTTCTTTTCCATTTTGGGTAGGCACCTGTACGAAATTTCGGTAACGAGGGCAATGTGGTCAGATTCAGGCCGAAGTTTCCTATTCCATTTGTAAACCAGAAGTGATCCGGTTTTGTTAGGGGAAGGTCCCAAGCGAGTCACAATCGCATATGTGCGGGTGGCTCGTTCTTCCTCTTCGAATGCGCCCCCCCTTGCTCCCACGCCCCTATCAAGTTCACGCGTTGGGATGACCCAGCTCAAAAGCTCGACCAGTCGGTCGGTTTTCGGCTTTGCTTCTCCTTGTGTATTCGGCGGAGAAAACTCAGTGGCCTGTACGATGTCCTCTTAACTCCCCTTGGGGATCATACGAAGACAGGCAAAATGACCCTGTCATCTGATTCCACATGACCGGTGAAGTACAGACGACCAGAGAATCTTGGACACGGCAAATAGCGGGATGACAATTGCCAAGATGAGAGAAGGGTACGCCGAACATCCACAAAAGAAGCTGTATGTATGTGATGAATAGAAGATGAAGGCTTCTGCAAGTAAATATAAGATATTTTAGATAAGCCGATAGCATTGTGCAGTCCCCTTCCAAGATTTTGATCATAGGGTGTTGACAAGGGAAAGAAACCTTGGAATTCGTCCATGGATATTTCATTTCTATAGCCAAATTTCGAAAACTCAAGACACGGGATTGCTCCGTTGTTGGCTTGCACTGCGTACACTAGGAGGGAATGCATGATTAAAGGTCATAGATGGAATAACGACGATGGCATATTCAACGGCCAAACTTGAGGAGATGGTGTGGGATGAGGAGTGCAGTTGGTCTCGTTTAACGTAATCCACCACCCAACGCCCGTTTACACCCAACGCCCGCCATTTCGCCATCACTATGATGAAATATTTTCAACGTCATTTCAACAACGCAATTAGATTTTAAGATGATATATTATAGGATGAAAATATATATAGAAAATTACATATAAAAATATATAGCTAATTCAGTAAACATTTGTTTGGCTTAATAACTCGCCCCAGAACATGAAATCTTGGGTGGAGGCAGATTCAGCGAGCAAGCAGTCATTAAACCAGTAGAGATTGCAATATCATCATATCCCTCTGGCAGTGGATCTGTGGGCACCCTGGCAGGGCTCTGAAAACGCGATTTAGCCACTCTTTGCGAAATCAAGGGTCTACTTTCCCGATTAGTAAGGTGATTTTTGAATTCTTCAATCATCTTCTTATTCAATCATGATTGTAGCCGTACGGCAGCTCGTTCTTCCTTTTCTTTTTGCTCCTGAGCCTTTTTCTCATCTCTAAGCTCCTTGTCAATCTGCCGTTGAGCAGCTCTTGCGGCCTTATCCATTTCCTTTTGCTGTTTTGTGGCCTGGCGAGCTGCCTCCCGCTCCATCCTCTGCTGGATGATATCTGCCTCCTTCTGTTCCTTAAGAATAGTGCGTTGCAGCTTTGCATCCTCCTTACGAGCTTGCTCATCCTTTTTGGCAACCTCTGAGGCCGCCAAATTCTCGCGGATGCTCTGCACCTTTGCCGGCGAGAAGAACTGCGCCAATGATGGATTCAAGGGATCTAGCAACCCCATTGCCCTGCCACGCTTGAGACGTCTCCTCTCTTGATTAAGAGCTTTTTGAAGCTGCCGATTCTCTATTAAAAGAACCTCTTTATCAAGAGCAAGATTTTCCCCTGCACGGATCACCCAGTTGAGATCATTAGATATTTGATGCTGCTGTTGCTTGACTTGCTTCACCAATTTCCGCAGGCCAACAATAGAAGTAGGTGTTCTTGGTTGATATCTTGCGTCGGGGGGGGGGGGGGGGGGGGGGGGGGGTGCAAGGTCGTATTTGAAGCTTTTTAAGAACGCGTTCCGGATCGAATGGATGTATGCCAGTAGCAGCAAATGCAGCTTCAATATTTGAAGATGTAACTGCCTCCTTCCACGCAGTGTCAAAAAGCTGCCAAAAAGACCTCTTTGTAGTGCGTATGAATCCCATTCCAGTTCTCATTCATTCATTCAGTTGTTTGGAATATGATTTACCCAATGGTCCAAATATCCCAACATCTAGCGGCTGTAATCGGTGTGTAGAATGGGGAGGAAAGACAGTGACTAGAATTCGATTCCGATCTGCATAATTGATGAATGCCATATTAACATGGGATGAGTGGCCATCCAATATAAGAAGTCTATATCCGCGGCCTGCCTTCTTTTTTGTAAGAGGTTCAAAGATCTTCTTTAACCATGTTAACCCATATTCATCATTGCTCCACCCATTTTCTGAAGCAGCAAAGTAGGCCTGATCCTTTTCACTATCAAAATCTTCGAGCCAAGTATCTTGCATATCTCTTGATTCCCCTTGATATATGAGAGCAGGTGGGAGCGAAGTTTCATCTGCGCAAATTGAGGCAAGTAGTGTTATGAATTCTCGACTGCCATCCTGGCTGGCACCTATCATACAGCCCGATTTGAGCAAATTAATCGATACAATACGTTTGAGGGTGTGAATGAATCCTAATAGGAATCCTTTCTCATCAAAGTTGTAGATATTCGCAGGTTCAAGGTTGTATTTCATGATTTTTGCCTGCAGCTGAAAAATTAAGATAAATTAGCAAGATGAGAATTAAAAATGCAGTATAAGAAAGAAATCTATTACAAGATCAAAATAATGTTTGAAGTATGCAGAATTGTCTGCAATCTTGCATTTTTGGTCGATATTTCACAGGTAGAGTGACTTGATCACATCCTTGTGGCACTCGCAGAACTGAGCCACCCAGTTGACTCCAATAGGTGCTTTTAGAATCTCAACAATGAGATTATGAAGAATTTGGGGCGTACAAGGGAAACCGTGATCTGCCAATCAATTGATATGAAAAAGGAGCTGTTTTTCTTGCGAATCAGTGAGAGCTTTGCAGTGGATAGAGCTTGCTTCCTTTCTTGACATTTGAACGCCTCTATAACGCCTTGACAATGTATATCAGCTGATTCCATATTTTTTTTAGCGGTCTCAGTGTAATTAGGCGTTGATTGCGCGTTCAAATCATCAATCGCGGCTTGTATAACTGCTTCATGGTGCATGTTGTGGGTGGTTAAATATGAATGAAAAATGTGAAGATTTGAGCTGGCGTTGGGTGTAAACGGGCGTTGGGTGGTTGATTACGTTAACTCTGACACAAGAATTGGCCGGAAAGAACTTGAACTTTGTCTCCAAACAGCACAGGCAAGCGGGCGCGGCTAGCGATCTTTGTAACCAATCTTGTGCATGACATGCTTTCTCACATGCCGGATCATTCTCATGTTACATTCGCGCTTCCTCGCTGCAAAAACACACCGCAGAACTAAGTTTTGCTGCATAAGTTTTGTGATCGTAGCAGAACAGAAGAAGAATGATAGTATCAACTGAGTTTAGAGATCTAATACCTTGTATTTTAAAAGATTTGATCATTGGGATGATACTTGTTTCCTTCAGGCCTCCTCATATGTTCGAGGGGCGGAACTTGTGTCTATGGGATTTGTACTCGCTCGTTCCTTGTTCCAGAATATACTTTGGCAATTGGGGTTGGTCAGGTAGAGCATTCCACGTGATTCCACTCTAAACTTCCAAAATATTCATCCGTCGAACCATCCCCAAACAGGTAGACTCTGACTTCATTTGGATTCTTGATATGAGAGATCTCAGCTCTGCCATCGAGTCCGTCTCGTTTAACTCTTCTCCCTGACGAAGTTGCAGCGCAATGCGAATGCGAAGAGAGATTCTAGTTGCCGCCGCTCTTGGCGATAAACCTCATTCAATCCATATGAAACACGCCCATGTAGTTATCTCTGCCGCCTGAACGAGCTTTATGGTTATACCGACGCCGTTCGTGATCGATGAATATGGTATTAAGAAACATTCCATCAGCCCTCTCTGTGTCGGAGTCCTTTCCGTTTCAACAACGGAGATGAGAGCCTTTTTTTTTTTTTTTTTTGGTGTTCATAAGCTGCATGGAAACGTCAATGCCATGTTCTAGATGCAAGACGGCTCCCATCTTAATTGGAGAATGCCTACCGTGCTACTACAGGTAGTTCCCGGGGACACCAATGGTATCGGGCACAGGTCTCCAGGGGGAACGCTTCTGTGTAGAAAGTTTCAGCTGGTATTCTTAACGCGGTTTCTCTTCTGACCATTGCTCTCCTTATTTTTATTTTTTATATTTTTTATATTTTGTCCGTCTTACTCTTCCCTGGTTATATTGTCGAGATTCTTCTATGTTGAGATAGTTTCAAACATTCTTTTGTTCCGTCAAAGAAAAAAAAAATTAAAACCAAAAAAAAAAAAAAAAGAAAAGAAAAGAAAGAAAAAACCATTCAAACTCCTGTTCCTACTTAGGTGCCCATGGGAAAGGGGTAATCTCCATTCTTTCGACATATCTCCAACAATTTTGGTTTGGGAACCAGTAATGATCTCAGACTCATTTCCAGCCGAAAAATCCCCTGGTGAAGGTTCTCGAGTGCAAAACCAAGCGGCGGAGATCTCTGACAATGAGGCCATTGATCCGAAGAAAGAGAGTAGACTGCTACGAAAAATTGACATCCATCTTCTGCTCCCGCTATGGGTCATATTCCTCTTCGGGTTTCTTGACAGGATCAATTTAGGGAATGCGGCAGTCCTCGGGGATCGTAGAGGAACTGAAGCTCAAGGTCAATGATTTCAATATCGCTCTGCAGGTCTTCTTTGTCCCTTACATTATTTTAGATATTCCAAGTAACATTGTCTTGAAAAATTTCGCTCCTTCGACATGGATCAGCCTGCTTACATTCTTTGGGGTACGTGGAACTACGTTTCTAGAACCAGAGGATGGTAATTACCCCAGGTTTTCAGTGAAACCGCTAAATTTATACCTCTCCATATTCAGGCATCGCGGCTATGTGTCAGGGCTTCGTCAAGAACAACGCGGGTTTGATCGCTTGTCGATTCTTCATTGGTGTCTTTGAAGCCGGCTACGTCCCTGGCTGCGCCTATCTCATGGCCATGTTCTACAAACGCCACGAGTTCCAAAAGCGTTTTTCCATATTCTGGGTTGCCGGGTTGGTGGCGGGTGCCTTTGGTGGCCTTCTTGCCTACGCTCTCAGCCACTTGCAAGGTCGGGGTGGCTACTCAGGCTGGCGGTGGATATTCATAATCGAGGGTCTCATATCCGTTATTCTCGCCGTCCCTGCCAAATTGTTCTTAACCGGCTGGCCCGATAAAGCCAAATTCCTCACAGAGGAGGAGAAAGCACTCCTTCACAACCGCCACTCGGAAGACATGGGCGGCTTCGCAAGAATGGACCAACTGGATTCCACGGCCTGGAGGCGGATCCTGACTGACTGGAAGATCCTGGTTGCGAGCTTGATATACATTGGCATCACCGTGTCGGGCTATGCAACTGCGCTCTTCATCCCGTCTATAGTCAACTCTCTAGGTTACAGCGGCCTCCAAAGTCAGATACAGAGCATCCCGGTCTGGGCCACCTCCGCTACCACCACCGTGATTGTCTCGTATTTCACCGACCGCCTCAGGCACCGGTACGGCTTCATCATGTTCGGCATCATGTTCGCGAGCATCGGCTACATCATCCTGATATGCCAGGCCCCTTTGAAGGGTGGCTTGCCACTTGGTGTCCGTTACATGGCCGTTTTCTTCATCACGACGGGTTGCTATATCGTGCAGCCAGCGACGATTGTGTGGCTGGCAAATAAACTGGGCGGGCACTACAACCCTGCTGTTGGTCTGGCTATCCAAGTTGGCCTTGGGAATCTTGGTGGTATCATTGCGAGTAATGTGTTTGTGCGCAAGCAGGCGCCAAGGTGTTTTGTAGGCTATGGTGTTGCGTTGTCTATGGTGATCTTCTGTGGGATCATGAGTACCGTATTTGCGCTGGGGTTAGTTAAAGAAAATCGGATTAGAGAGAGGGGGGGGAAAGAGATGCTAGACTTGGATCGGAGGAGTTAGAAAATATGGGTGATGATGATCCAAGGTTTCGGTTTAGCTTGTGAATGTGTGTTTTATGACAATATTTACACACTACCTGAGTTTGCATAGTAATTGAAATTGAATTGATACACTTGTAATAATATTTGTTTGTCGTGAGTTGACGTCCTGTACATATTTATGTGGCTAAAAGTATTCATGATAGTCACCTGGTATCGTCGGTGTGAATATACAATGCAATGTTTAATTGGACAAAGTCATTCTGAATTGATCATCTACTAGTTACCTGCTTCTGGGTGTCAGCAAACTTCAACAGCACGCTTAACTCGCCCCCTTTTTTTGGCTATTCTTACATCGAGAAGTCCGAAGATAACTGTCAGGCGCAACAAAACGTTCGAACTCCTTTTGGACAAGAAGAGCAGGGAGAGATGGGATACACTTAACTTCACACTGGCGGATAAATGCAAATATTTTCCCAGGAAGAGGATTTCGCAGGAAAGCCCTAACACGGAAAGAAAGATATACGGACAAAAGAAATATTAAAGAGGTTGCTCTTCGTTCTTCTTTTTTGACATTTTTCTGTGAAGCTGCCATAAACACTCTAAAGAACCTCTGTAGCAGCAAAATACCTGACTGAACCCAATAGACAATAATAAGAACACAAAGAAAAGGTAAGAAAGAGGGAAAGGAAGAGGAAAAGAGACCACAACCAAAGCCGAAATCGCATATAAGTCACAACAGTCAGCAAACAGTAAAATTAAATCGCTTCCCACATCCACGCCTGCCCACCTACCGCGATAGGAGGCAAAATCAAAAATTCACAGAAAGGAAAGAAATGAAGGATAACCATAATAACAATGACAGTGACAACCAAGTGCCATCGGCCAATCCGATTACACATCCTATGCCGCGCCTGCTTGCCCACCCCAAAGGGATAACAAAGACCAAACTACAGTAAAGGAGGAAAATATGCAAGCATGCACGCATGACGCCAATTTCGACTGGGCATGGACGTATATCGTGGTTCGCATTCGTAGGAAACATGAGAGAAGGGCTTGTTGGTTGGCGGTTAGTTGGTCGGTGAACTCGCGCGGTCACCATTTTCGTATGCATTTGTGTCTACATCTGCACTTATATTTCGGATTTGCGTCTTGGGTATGGCGATAGTGCCTAGCAAAGATGGGGAGGAAAAGGAAGGTAGAAGCAGAAAGAGGGGTATCCGAGGATGGCAGCATAAATGAAATGAAGTGTTTCTCGAAGAATGCATGTTATGCTCTTGTTTGGGCCTTTGAATACATCAATTACTTCGTGCAAATTACCTACACGAAAACCCAGGGAACGTCTTGCGATCTTGGACGTTGAGTTCGAATTGGAAAATACCTTGCACGGTTCCGATATACCTATAGAAATTGTAAATATTTTTGTTAGTTTCGCGTAATCAAATCCAACGATACAATTGTGAAGGGCATGGCGCCATGAAACATCACGGTTGAATATATATAACTTACAACATCCGCCCATCCTCTCCCCATCCAATCCCAGCAGTCCCAACCCCACGTTCCCGCTCGCGACTAGTCGACGCAAAGGTCACGTCATCACCCATAGTCGTGCGAATCCAGCGCGGTGCGCGAAGCTGGTCAAGCTCCATGCGCCGTCGATACTGGCCAAGAGTCGTCCCGGTCCTCCGACTCTCCTCAATAGCCGCCTGCCGCCGTAACCGGCTGCGCTCCTCGTGGCTTATGCCCGTTTGCGACTCTTGCTGTTCTGCAACGGATGCATCGGGGGGGTCCGCTCTTCTGGGGATGGATCTTGTGCGGTGCAGACGAATCTGTTGGGTCTGGATGGCTAGAGGTGGAGTTTGCGGGGAGTGGTCGAATAGGACACGGGCACGCAGGGTTTGGCGGCTGCTGTTTGCAAGGCCGCTTCCGTTTGGCTGGTCACTGTCCGTGGATTGGGCTGTGCCGTTACGACCAGTTGTGTTCGATCCATCGGCATCAGAAGGATGGTGTGATATTTGTATTTGGGATGGTGACTGAGTCCATCTTAATGTTACGGATGGGGCGCTGATTCCGTGGGCTGCGAGTAAAGTAGGGGTCAACCGGTCACCCTGAGATTGCGCACCTGTGGCACGACGTGGTGGCTGTTGAGTTGCCGCTCGCAGTCTCTCCAGTTGGCGTTCTGCAGCGTAATCAGAGCGAAAAACGGCGTCATCTAAACCCGGAGAGCCCCCGCGAGGAGAGCGGTTACCCATGCGGGTTTCTATGAGCAGCTCAGGGCTCAGACGACGTGAAATCCGAGACGTTGACCCCTCGTCCCATTCAGACGTATTCATTGACTCGACAATATGCCTTTCTCTATAACCCAAATCCCGTAACAGATCTTCACGCAGTGTCTCATGTTCTAAATCCCCACTTGGCTGATCCCTTTGAGAAGATGATGAGTCTTCAATAATATTTACGAGATGGTTAGGACCTTCCGGGTCAAGATATCGATGTGGATCATCTGAATCTGATCCCCCTTCAGGCTCATCTCTGCCTATTCGGGTTGGCACCATTTGCAATCCCGGTTGATCCAAGTCAAGAGAAAGAATCTGACGGCGGGAAAATGCCTGGCGGACATCTGCCACTCCCGCTCGCCCATAATCTTCAACCCAGACGAGAAGATCCCAAGGCCTTGGGGAGAATGACATGGAACGAACCGCACCTCCTTCAAAGTAAGATCGGGACGACTGGAACACACAAACAATATCTTCTCGTCCACTCTCATCTTCCGGATCAGTATTTAGAATGCTTTTTACATCGAAGACTGTGATAATTCCTGCTTGCGAACCAACCGCGCAAAGATGGCTGGAAGGGGAAAACGCGATGGTAAAACAACAACAGTCATCGTACTGGGGATCTGAGTCTAGTTCAACGGAGCGGATCAACGGCCAGTTCCATCCAATCAGCATTTTCTCGCTGTTTCGAACTGCAATTCTATTTTCCGGAGATGGTTCAACGCGATAGAAGTAAATACGATTGGCGTCGCCAACGGCAGCAAGAAGTTTTGAGTCTGGCGAGATAATGGCATAGTTCATGCATATTGGATGACGGATACTCTGAATCATTTCTGAACGAGTGAGAGAATAAATGCTCACGGTTGTATCATTATTACTGGAGGATCCATCACATGTTAGCCGCGCTGAGAACATAAGGTGTCAAAGAAATCTAGGAAAGCACGGAAAACCGCGTACCTGAGAACTGCAACATCTTCATGCGCATAGATGGGAGCTTCACCTGGCAGACGATGAAGCGTTACCGAATTGACTATGCTACCACCGAATTCATGTATTTTTATATCTAAAATAAAGGTCGTCAGCGGAGAGAATGTCATAAGAGAAGGGAAAGGACAGGGTCTCACTAGAACTTGATGGTGGGAATCGCGGGCGCACAGGATCTAGGTCGACTGGCAAAGGGCTATCTATGCCCACACGAGGAGGAAGCATAGCATGCGGGGTCGATGAGGACGGGTCCCCGATCCTGATGAAGGCGCAATCCCCATGTTCTGAGCCACCAATTCCAATCCATCCTAGACCAGCCGTCAAGCACTTTGGCTCGAAGGGCACGACAGCAATTTTCTCACGTTTTCTGGACGAGGTGTATATGACATATATTTGCCTTTCGACTGCGAGATAGATCCGATCTGGGTCAACAGTGCTGATGTAGTGACGGAGCTGATGATGGCTGTGTTGCGCCTGTTAGTGATGATGGAGCTTCCCGCAATCCATATAGCTAGCCAGGGGCCAAGCAAGCTTCTACTAACGTATTGGGGATCCTGATAGGGAAGAATTTTCGATTGTTTGCGAGGACAAGACAATCAGTAGGTCGACAACTTTATTTATGTGAACATTATTGAAGTCAGTAAAAGGCCATATTTCCATATTGCGGCGGGGTGTTGATGGGAGATGGGAGATGAGGGCGTAGATAGCGGTACTCACAGCAATGCGGAGTCGAGCGTCATGCTGGCCAGGTGAGCAAGGCCGCTCCGGGCATTGTATTAAGAGGGGGTCAGAAGATGGTAAAGTAAGAAGTATCTGACTAAAAGAAGGAAGAGATTAGAAGCAAGAAAAGAAGCAGTGTGGAGTTGTTGTTTTTTTTGCTGCAGCGGCATTCGAGGATGTGATGGGTATAAACGGGATTTGGTGGAGGGCGAATTTAACTGTTTGTCGATGACGGCAGACTCGACCAAAGCAGTTGAGTGGGTTTTAGGGAATGGGGCTGTAGTGGGGGACCAGGTACCGCCGCACACAAATAACATGGGGAAGGTACCTCCATTGCAGTTACCACATGCCCATAAGCTCCATAGCTGTAGTTAGTTACGGAGTCTCCGCTCTCTATTTGACTTACTAAGTTACACGCAACCTCTATGAACTAGCAATATTTTTGCATGCTTATAATAACAATCAAATGCCCGTGTCTTTTTACAAACGCCGCATCTCACCTTTTGATCCTACTCCGTACACTGTCCCGCCTCCGCCGTCCCCCTCGCCTGTCTGCTTGCATTCCTCAAACACAACATCCCCAATCCACTCCCCCCAGCCAATCACAGAGCTGCATCTCTTCCCCTGCTGACATAATTCCTGACTCTGTACGGCTCACGTGAGACTTCCGTCTTCCACTGCTTTCGACGAATCGCCCAAATAGGAAAAGCGTCACTCGATTTTTAATTTTTTTTTTCTTCTTCGCATCCAAACGTCTTAACATCTTCTCTCCCTATACTATCCCTATCCCATCCCCGTATCTCGATTTCCGCATCTTCTCCTCATATCCGCTCTTCTGATTTCTCTCACCCTTCCTTGCATTTGTATCACTAGGATCCGTCTGTCTTCTCCCCCTGTATTTTAATATATATATTCTTTGACTATTTCATAATGCTTGCTTCCCGGTTCTCCCGTGCGGTATGTGTATAACCATCCAATTCTACCCCTAAAGCTCCACAGAAAGACCATTGTCAGATTGACTTGGAAATCCATTCGGTTAGCTTCCTCGCGCGGTTCCTTCTTTTGCTCGTTCTTCCGCTCGTTCCTCCGCTTACAAACTCCCTGCTACACCATTCCGAAGATGGAACTCAACAGAAGGCGGAGAGGAGAAGGTGAAGGGCCAAGTTATCGGTATCGATTTGGGTACGTACAAGCTCCTAGAAAGCTTCAGATGATTTTTATCAGTAAATGCTGGTCATTTGATATTCTAGAGCTAACTGAGATGATTGACCAGGTACCACCAACTCCGCTGTTGCTGTGATGGAGGGCAAGACCCCAAGAATCATTGAAAACGCCGAAGGTAAGATTTTATATTATTTCCCCTTATCCCAGGTTGATTCCATGGCTACGAAACTTAAGGTTGAGAACTTCAAAGAACTTCCAAACTAACTTGCTGTTCCAGGTGCACGAACAACTCCCTCAGTGGTTGCTTTCACCAAAGATGGTGAGCGACTTGTCGGTATTGCCGCTAAACGACAGGCTGTTGTTAACCCTGAGAATACCCTCTTTGCCACTAAGCGTTTGATCGGACGCAAATTCACCGATCCCGAGTGCCAGCGTGACTTGAAGGAAGTTCCTTACAAGATCGTTCAACACGCTAACGGCGACGCATGGGTTGAGGCGCAGGGCCAAAAATACTCTCCATCCCAGATTGGAGGCTTTGTCCTCCAGAAAATGAAGGAGACTGCTGAAGCCTATCTTGGCAAACCCGTCAAGAATGGTGTCGTCACAGTCCCCGCCTACTTCAATGATTCTCAACGTCAAGCTACCAAAGATGCCGGTCAAATCGCCGGTCTCAACGTTCTCCGTGTTGTCAATGAGCCTACCGCTGCTGCTCTTGCCTACGGTCTCGAGCGCGAGCAGGATCGCATCGTTGCCGTCTACGATCTTGGTGGTGGTACTTTTGACATCTCCATTCTTGAAATCCAGAAGGGTGTGTTCGAAGTCAAGTCTACCAATGGTGACACTCATCTTGGTGGTGAGGACTTCGATATCACCCTTGTCCGCAACGTTGTGCAGCAATTCAAGAAAGAGTCCGGTATCGATCTCTCAAACGATCGCATGGCTATCCAGCGTATTCGTGAGGCCTGTGAGAAGGCTAAGATCGAACTTTCCTCCGCTCTCCAAACTGAAATTAACCTTCCTTTCATCACCGCTGATTCCTCCGGTGCTAAGCATATCAACTCCAAGATGACTCGTTCTCAGCTCGAGGCACTCGTTGACCCTCTGATTTCCCGCACTATCGAGCCCGTGCGCAAGGCTTTGAAGGATGCCAATCTCCAGGCTAAGGACATCCAGGAGGTCATCCTCGTTGGTGGTATGACCCGTATGCCCAAAGTTGGAGAGTCCGTCAAGAGCATCTTCGGCCGCGATCCCGCCAAGTCCGTCAACCCAGATGAGGCTGTTGCCATTGGTGCTGCTATTCAAGGTGCTGTCCTCGCTGGTGAGGTCACCGACGTTCTTCTCCTTGACGTTACTCCTCTGTCCCTCGGCATTGAAACACTTGGTGGTGTGTTCACTCGTCTGATCAACCGCAACACCACTATCCCTACCAAGAAGTCCCAGACCTTCTCCACTGCCGCTGATTTCCAGACTGCCGTCGAGATCAAGGTTTACCAGGGTGAGCGTGAGCTCGTCCGTGACAACAAACTCCTTGGAAACTTCCAACTTGTTGGAATCCCACCCGCCCACCGTGGTGTCCCTCAGATCGAGGTCACCTTCGACATTGATGCTGATTCCATCGTCCATGTCCACGCTAAGGACAAGTCCACTGGCAAGGACCAGTCCATCACCATCGCCTCCGGCTCCGGTCTCTCTGACGCCGAGATCCAGAACATGGTCGACGATGCCGAGAAGTTCGGTGCCCAGGATAAGGAACGAAAAGCCGCTATCGAAGCCGCTAACCGCGCCGACAGCGTCCTGAACGACACTGAGAAGGCCCTCAAGGAATTCGAGGACAAACTCGACAAGACAGAGGCTGACCAGATCAAGGAGAAAATTGCCTCTCTCCGTGAAGTCGTCGCCAAAAGTCAGTCTGGCGAGGGCTCCATTACCGCTGACGAGTTGAAGGCTAAGGTTGATGAGCTCCAGAATGCCAGTCTTACCCTGTTCGACAAGATGCACAAGGCCCGTTCTGAGGATGGACAGCAGCAGCAATCCCAGCAATCAAATGAGGGCCAGCAGAGTGGTGAGGGAGAGAAGAAGCCATGAGAAACGCAAATTTGAATCCTAAAAGAAGCCTATTCTAATTAATACAAAAAGTGGTTATAGACGCCTGGGATTCCTTTGCTTCTTGCCTGCTCTTTTCCGTAAATCCATCTCTTTCCCCTTTGCTCTGACTGAGGTTTCAACCTTCTCTTTTCCCTTTGTGTATTCATGTTTCATGTTCGATTGTCGTCATTTCCATCAAACCCTTTTTTTTTTTTCATTTCCCTGTATACCAGCCTTTTAGTGTGTTTCTTCATCTCTCCCATAACCGGTGTTGGAGTTTAATTTTCTTTTTCTTTTTCTTCATTTTTTACTTTTTTATTTTATTTTTTATTTTATCGTCGCTCTTATACTCTTTCATAGCAATGTTTTACGTGTACCACTTTTGTCTTTCAAGGTCACCACGGACCTGGGAATGTGAAGTGGGGGAGAAATCTTTTTCAACCGGTGCGTTGAGGGATAAGCATTGGGAACGGCGGGTACAAAACAGGTATATGAATTTTTTTGTCAATAAAAAACGGTCGTGGATCGGGGTGACAAAAGCGGTCTTGTGTTGGAGAAGATGGGCGCAATCGGTGGTTGACAAGGTAGCCCAACTCATGGGGTGGCATATCTGCCGGTTTTACACCGTCTTTTCTCCCTCTATTTCTCTTTTCGTTAATCATAGAATAGCAATTCTCCTCTCTTGAAGTTATACATTAGTTTTAAGTCTTAACTCTCGCTTTTATTTTCTCTGCTTTATCAAGTTGTAACCCTTCCCCCCCCCCCTTCACCCTCACCCTAACCCTGGGCAGAGTATCTTTCCAGACATAATCCATCCCACCTCTCTCTCAACATTGAGAAACATGGAGTATAACTATCAGTAAATGTCGACAAGGAGCATGAACCTGCTCGTATGTACCGTGTATTTCGTAGACTCCATAGATGGTTTTTATTGTGACTTGATTCGACGCCTGCAAGCATATTCAAGCGAGTAAATGAAGTTGTATAGTAAACACAGAAGTGGGTGCATAACAACCATTCTCCAGAGACATCTGCACCTTTAAATTCCCGTATCTTATCTCTCTGCTCTGCTTTCTCTTAGTCAAAACAGCAACTCCGCATGTTTCCTGTTCTACATTCATTTAAGAGCAGACTATCCACCATCCACCTTCTCTCATATTCATCTCTGTTCAATTCCAAGACATACACCAGAATGCGCGCGCCCATACAGAAGAAGAAGTTGTATAGTTATCCACCTCTGAAGTTGTATTAAGGACAGTACATCTTTCTTTTCCCTCACTCTTGGTAACACCCTTTTCCATTTCTCCCCTACACACAGATCTCACTTTTAACCAAAAAGCCATTCTCACTCTATCTTGTTATATTCATCTTCTTGACAAGGGACAACCAAACCAAATTCTTCGGAATTCCAATGTAGTCGGTTTGTGCCCAACCCTTCATTTCATTAACGTTACTAATAAATTAATCTGAAATATCTGCAAAATCCACCCGTGCCAGGCTTGGCTCTGCATATGACAGCTCTGCTGAACCAGAATATTCTTTAATGAATCAACTCCTGTGTCCTGCTCTCCTCTCAAAATATCAAAAAACTCACTGTCTATGGCCTAAGAAGCGATCTCATAGTGAGGTTTTCAGAGAGTTCGATTTCTCCACCCTGAGAAGCCCATTAAGGAGGTTAGAGTGGTAGCTCATTTTGTAAGAGCTGCGGGCACTGTAGAAGGGGGATTAGTGCTCCTGCTGCCAACTACCCACCTGGCATCTGTCATATAGACTGTATGCTGCTCGTCAGCAGCAGAAGTGACTGTAAAATATTTATTCACCTTCATATCAGGTTCATGTTCTGTGTCATCTCAGTGTGTGTAGGGCGTTTTTGTATATAATCTCCCGCCTCCTGCTACGGGTATATCTCCTAGACCCCCTACGTTCCATTCCCTGGCCAGTGCCACGTATCACAAGTTTGTCGACAACAATATAAGAGAACAGAAACAGCTCTTAACAATAGCAGGCAAGATGATAGCGATTCCTTGCTAACTGAGTTTAACAATCGTATATTCAGATAGTCAATCAGCTATTTATTATTCATTATAACCCTATAACCGGTCAATTTAGAAATTTTTAATACTAATTTAGCTGATATTTTCTAAAGATATATTCTATACTGTTAAGGTGCTAAAGTCCTTTGCTACAGACAGCTTTGTAGATAGCTCTATAGATAGCTCTGCAGGCATCTTAAGATCTCTAGTCAGCTCTTTTTCATGCTCAACCCTTTATATTCACTCTTATGAAGAGAGGACTGACCCTTGATTTGCTCTGTCGATTCCTTATCATTCAGCACTGAATACAGTAGGGGGTTATTAAGAACACTCTCCTGCTTGATAAAAGTGTTAAAATTGATTTGTAAAGATCTTTACATGTCAAATAACCAGCTGAGCTGGCTGACAGTGGTGAATAACATCATGAGAATATATGGTTTTATAGACGTTAATTTTCTCATAAATTAGGATAGAATTGGAATGTTTTGTTGCTATTTGATGATATTCTTCTTTATCTATTCAAGATTTGGGGGTTTTGAAAGGTTTGAGGGGCTCAGCAGTGCTGCCGGGCAGGCAAGCTCTGAGTTGGCAAGGTCTGAGTCATTGGAACGCTAGTTATTTTGGGTGAACATGTGTATACGCTATATTTGATTTAGTATTTTTGAGGAATGTATTTAGCCGGGCAAGGAGTGTATTTATCAATCCCTTATGGCGTCAGTCAGGCGCTTAGCATGGGATCCCCAACGCATGATTGGACTTTTTAAGCGTTTGACGCGCTATATACGCGGTTGTTTTAGGTTAGAAACACGGCCCGATCCCAACAAGATAACTGCGTAATATCATACCAAGACAAGGTAAAATGATTGGGTAATCCTACGTGGCTTGAAATCAACTGAAAATATATATATATAGAGATAACTTCAGTAATTAAGGATTATTGAGGAGAATAGAAAGGAAACCAGCAAAAGGAGACGTTCAAATTTCTCTCAGATATCAAATCTAATCTCCTTCTATCTAGACTTACTCAAACAAACACCCCCAAACTCCCAACTCTATCTGTACGCATATCAAGATTACACATCATGTCTTCCGCCCCAATCCCAATCCCAAATCCAAATCCCTTAGTCAATCTCCCCGAATTCCTCCTCCTTTGCATGGAGGAAGAAAATATAACAGCTTTCAAAAACGCTCTAAATACACACTGGCCCTCTCTCTCCGTCTCCCCTGCCAACTCCCCACAAAAAATAAAAATAACCCCCTTACACGAACGCCTAGATTCAAACCTGTTAACAGAAACCTTCGACCTGATCGTCTCCCCGGCAAACTTCTACGGCCGCTTAGATAGTGCCTTCAACGGCACCATCTCGCGCGCCTTCTGCCTACCAACACCACAACTATAATTCCCTCACACATGCAGCACAGGACGTGCTATATGAACGCTGGCGCGGCTATGCGCCGCCGGGTTCCTGTACGCTTGTCCCCTTTCCAGCGGAGATTGCGCGGACAGCGCCATGGGGGTGCAGATGGGTGGCATTGTGTCCGAATATGCGGATGCCGGAGACTGTAAATTGGGATCGCGAGGTGGTTTATAAATGCATGTGGAGTTTGTTGTGTGAGGTGGAGAAGTGGAATAAAGACGTTAGGGAGGGGGTGGAGAGAGGGGGCAGGGTGCAAGGAGAAGGAGATCGGGAAGGGGATGGTGGGGAGAGGAAGAGGATTGATAGGGTTTTGATGCCGCCATTGGAGGTTGGGGTGGGGAATGTTAGCAAGGAGAAGTGGTCGGGCCAGGTTGTGTTGGCTCTGAAGCATTTTGTGGATGCATTGGAGAGGCATGAGAGGTGGATGAGATTGGAGTGGAGTACGATAGGTCGGGAGAGTTTTGAGGTCAAGAAGATGTGGCATGAGGAGCAGAAGGCGTTGGTAGACTGATTTAGTGTGGGTATTTAATTTAGTGAGTTGTTGTCTTCGCTTGGTATGAAAAACATAGCGTAGAGGGATAAATTTGTCTTCCTTTCTCTCTTTAGTCTTTTGGTTGGAGTGGTCGAGAATTAGATGCCGGCTGCAGATAATTCTGAATAGTCGGGTTGAGGATCAGGGTTGATGTCGATGGCGAACACAAAGATTTTTTGAAGCGTTTCGGTGTGATTATTCGTCTTCCGAGCGCAATGTCATCTCGATTGCATGTAACGATCAACCTCAAAAATGGTTGAACTTTGAGACGTGTGCTCGATTGTTCAATGGGTTATATCATGTCTCAAACCCGATTTCCACATTAGAGTAAGAGATCAGAGACCAGCTCATGATAAGCCAACTAAGAACTTTCCACCCAGTCCCAAGCACAAGCGCATTCTGGATCATATTAACACTCCTTTCGCCCCACTCCACACACCCCCCTCCATCTAACTCAACCTACCCCCTCAACACAAGCACATGAACCACATACCCAGACCCCCCCTCCAACTCCTTCCCCGCAACCTCATCACAAACCCTCCACACCCAAAACTCCTCCAGGGCTGCCTGCAGCCACGACTCAAACACATCCGGCGCCCGCAGCTGCTGCGCAATAACACATACCGTAGGATTCCTCCTGTCTGCAGCGAAGGACGATGATTCCTGAACACATGTACCCATCCCCTCTCCCTCCCCCTCTGGGGACGGGGAACTTGGAGGTATAAAACCAGGTCGCAAACGACAGATATCCGCGCACGTCTGCACGAATGGCTCGATCAGGGCATCATTATATATACAGTCGCAGGCGAGAAGGAGGTCGAAGCCAGGATCTCCCTTCGCTGCTCCTTCCATTTCCCTTGGCTCTTCTCCCTTTTTGCCAGAGGTAGCGTTATGTTGGCTACCTGAGGAAGGATGGGATTCTGCCCCTTGTACACGGATGTCAAGAACCTGTTTCAGCGTGGAAGGGGAGTCGAATTCCCAGTCCAGCGTGGTAAATATGATATTCGCCATCGGATCGTCTGGTTGGCATCCAGAAGAAAAATGGGTTTGTTTGCGGGAGCGGCGGCCATTGTGGTGATTATGGTGGCGCGATGTTGTTGTGCTAGTTTTTCCTGTACCTGTACCTGTGGCTCTGGAATTGCTTTCGAGGTTTTCCTTTAGTAACCTGTGTACGTATTCTTGGTCAGTAACGATGTAATGGCTGACGGATGGAGCCAAGGTCATGGCTATTAGGCCTGATATTCCGCAGCCGAGCTCTACGATAGTCGAATCCGGGTTTAGGACTGAGGATGTCCAGAAGATGTTTTGTTTAGATGAGAGCCATTCTGCGATTAAGGGGGTTATTTTCCACACGACTAGAGGACGGTCAGAAAAGGGGTTTTCCATCGTTGGGTGGGGAAGTATATCCTTCCCCTCTCCTCTTTTTCTTTTCTTCACCAGCTTTGAGACTAAGGTATATAAGGCAAAGCTGTCAAATTCGAACGTGACAAAAAAAAAAAAAAACGTACCTGCTCCCGTAGTACCGCCCGAGCGGGTTGAAGAGAGAATAGTTGGTGACTGGCGTATTACAAAATCCCGTCCGTGGATCGTGAGATCGAGTGTGCTTGCGCGCGAATCGACAAAGCCAAGGGTATGCGAGGGCAGTTGCTGAGAGAATAGGGAGAAGGCCTCTATATTTTCCCAATTAATAAGGGGTAGAGGATAGATTTTCTTTTGAGTTCAGATATTGACTCTATGCCCTATATCAAATGCGTGTGTGCCGCTAACATCAAACATTTCTCCTCTTTTATTTCTTCAAGGGATGTCCAAGTTCCTTACCTTCTTCAGCGTCGTCGACTTCAGGCCCAATCACATGCAAAAACTCATGGAATTGCATGATTGGTTGATCAGATCAATTAACATTTAAATGCCTATATAGCATCAAACGTCACTTTAATATTAACTCGACAGCCATTTTCATGTATCGAGTGTTTTGCATCTAGAGCGAGAAAGTTAGCATGGCTCCTATTTCCTCGATACTTTTTGAGATGGTTCGCTTATGTTTAGACACCAAATGCATGAAAGAGATAATAGAATGAAGACACAAACGTACTGGGCTGATCTCAGTACACTGTTTTAGAAATCTTCAACAGTTTGATGCGTGGCTAGAAATCACGAGCCACCTGACAAACTCTCGACAGTACATGTAAAACGTATAACTGGATAATTGAAGAGCACTATTCTCTCCTGAATATAAAATCCTGGTGCCGTAAAACTCGAAGTCTCCATACATCCCTTGGGATGAAGTTACATACCCACTTTTTTTTTTTAGGGGGGGCCGGGGCGCGGGGCGCAGATATTCAAGACGCACACTGGTCGATATCCGCTACACAAGAAAATGCAGTCCAACGAGACGGTAGTTATGTGTCAATGTCAAAGACGTATATGAAATCAGATGGAAAAACAAGCAAATAAACACCAGTCTTTGCGGATAGATGCCAGATACAGGAACCCCTTTTTTCCTTTTGGCTGAGTTCCTTCTACCTTCCATGTGCTGATTTCGAATATATGCTTGATTACTCATCCCAAATCCAAATTAGTTAGTTAGTTAGTTAGTTAGTTACAAGAGGTAATGAAAGATCACGCTGTGCGTAAAAATAACAAGCCCCCAAAAGCCCGGTATTTTTGGGAAATGCAAACAGCACAAACAAACCTCGCCGTCCTCCCAATTAGAACTGGTCAACAGCCCCCTTAGCCATTGATGTACGGAGTACTCGGGTCTTCTTGGGGGGGGCCGGGGAAGAAGAAGTAGTGGGGAGGGGAGGATTGGTCAAATTACGCGAAAGAGGCTGCAAAATATCTAACCTACCAGAAAAAGGTGAGATGCTTTGTTTTGTCTCCTTTCTAAAACCTGAGACTTTGAAAACCCTGAGACTTTGCTCCGCTGAAAACAAGAAGAAAAGAAAAAAGAAAAAAAGTACGAGTAGAGATGTCGTTTATTCAATCTTCTGGAAAACGAGTCTATGCAAGGAACCCTTCCCTTTCCCACTCGCTTCATCCATGCATTCGATGGCACTGCCGGAAGTCGTGGCTGTGTACGTACCCGTGTATCTTGTGAGTGTACCAAACTTATTTCCCATCACCACTGTAACCCAGTTCTTGCTGTATGGAATATGGAACTTCCCCGTGCTGGTGCAAAATACAGGGCGCCAAGAGGATGGCTTCTGCAACCAGGATGAGGTGTCAGTGGCCTAGGTGTTAAGGGGTTGCCCTTTTCTTTAAAAAAAAAAAAGGACGACATTCTTGGAAGTTCGCACTGATCTGCGATTACTTCCTCGATTCATCGACAGAGTAGGTTGGTGGTTGGTTTTCTGTCTTATCTGAGGTGTTTCCCCTCTTTGCCCAGCCAATATGTGGCTGCCAGAGGGTCTTGGTTTTGTTGGCATTTGTTGCCTTTGCAATGGAAAAAGGCCCGAATATGTAGGTCTTCCAAGCCACAGAACAGCTCGCATGGTCTGGAATCAGAGACTCTTCCCGGTCAAACACATATTACAGCAAGACTAAAAGGAATAAAATAGAAATAGGTCAGGATCTAGCCTTCAAAAACCCTCTCTCCCCCTCTCAGCTCTGAGGGCTCGCTCGGAGCCAAGCAATTTTCACTGCTGGATCGTTGACTTCGATGCGAGTATTACGAGGCAATAATAATGCTTTGGCGCTGTTAACAGACTCCACATCAGATCCCCCTCTCTTTACTGTTTATCTCTCTCCGCTTCCAAGTTCCAAGATATACACTTTATTCAGCTTAGAACTAACCTGTCAAGGGCTCATGATGATGCGTATGGAGTCATGGACCCCTTTGACCGTGGATATCACCTCAGCTTAGCTCATTGTAGTTACTTTAAATCACTTCTGACCATTTGTGTCAAACTCTGATATGATTCCGGTCGTTCTTGTGTGCCTAGGTAGTTTCACTCCTTTGCCAGAAAGCAGCTGCCGAGAAAAGAACCTTAAAAGAAAAAAAAAAAAAAGACTGGACTATCCGCAGGGCAGCTGACAGCTGGCCTTGTCTGGCCAATTATTTAGGATCCTTGGAAATGGCGAAGGTGGGAAAGCTAATCTGGATGTCTGGATGGCTATCCATCAAATGCATTTTTGTGCGGCCAGGTCCTCGTAAGCCGATACCTGTCGGTCACTCACAGTCTGACGGCGACGACCTCGAGAAAAAAGAAAACGCAAGCAAAAGTCTTGTTGCTCTAAATTACCCTTGGTGTAGCCCAGGTAGCGCGATATAGATAGACAAAATGATCAAGATTTGCCGTCTCATCGGTCATTCCCATATATATAGATGTATGTATCTTCAATGTTCACCAGGGTCGGGCTGTGCAAGTGCGTATCTTGACGTTACCGGTTCCATACCGGATCACGGGACCACGATTTTTCAATACGTTGGAATCAGACTTAGGTCACAGGGATTCTGGCTGACTGTTAAAACCGAGCCACCCCCCTTGGTCAAATGGTCGTTCGTATTGCAAGAAGACTAAATTGAGCTTAATAATGACTTCTTTTTAAAATATGTAGGTAACTATCAAACTGTCACTAGTTAGCAGTTAATATATTATCCAAGTAGTTAGTTTAATAATATTATATATGATTATATAATCAGATATCTATTTAACTAACTAGTTAAGTCTTCCGTACCCAAGGGTGGAGGCGTTAAACTTCAAGATCGGGTTGAAGGTTGCTTGCGGCTTGGACTTCAACAAGACCTTGGCTCTGCTTCTCACCACTCCCTCCTCGTTCCTTCCTCCCTTTCCTTTTCCCTCGCTCCCTGTCCTCTCACTTCAGCCTCCTCTTCTCTCTCTTCATTCACCAACGTCCGACAACGGTCCGTCAATGCCCTCACTCTACACTGTACCTCTCTGCCCCAGGACAGAACATTTTCAGGCGCGGTAATCCAATCAGAGAGCTCTGACGACGTGTCCCTGGCTATATAGCTGTCTTATCCTTGCTGCTTGTCAGCGACCTTCCTCTCACTCACGATACCCGTTACATTACTGTCGCATCATAACTCCCTGTCGTTATCTCTGACCAGCTCACAACCGTTCACATCTCTATTCACTTCACCATGGCGAAAAGGGATGGCCTCCTCCTCCAGCCCCGTATCTCCAAGAAGCCACCCTTCAGCGTCGAGGTTCCCGGCGCCGAAAAGGTTGAAGGGGAGAGCATCCCTCGTCGTCACCCTGCCGCAAAGGATGGCCTTCTGACCAAACCCCGCCCAGAAATCTCCACACTCTACGAGAACCTCCAATGGAGCGTGAAGCAGTACGGAAACGCTAAAGCTGTGGGATCGCGCCGGATAGTCAATACGCATGTCGAGAACAAGAAGGTTAAGAAGATGGTGGATGGCGTCGAGCAAGAGGTCGACAAGGCTTGGACGTATTTTGAGCTAAGCGGATACACATATCTAAGCTTTATCGAGTATGAGAAACTTGTTTTGGAGCTGGGTGCGGGCTTCAGGAAGCTTGGGTTGGAAAAGAATAGCAAGATCCACCTGTTTGCTGCTACAAGGTGAGTGTAGTTTAGTATTTATTAGACTCCCTTGCTACCTTGATAATCAGATTATCATTTATGCTAACTTGGTGTTTATGTAGTGTGCATTGGTTGGCGACTGCACATGGTAATTTTCCTCCCGAAGCACCATCATAGCTTCTGTGTTTTCCTTTTTTTTTTTTTTTTTTTTTTTCTTTTTGTGGCAACTCTCTCGTTTTCTAACATTTCCTTAGGCGCTACGTCGCAATCGATGACTATCGTTACTGCCTATGATTCATTGGGAGAGGACGGCTTGAAGAATTCCCTTACCCAGACACACAGCACCGCAATTTTCCTCGAACCTGTGCTCCTACCCACACTTGAGCATGTCTTGAAGGATGCAAAGGACATTAAACATGTTATCATAGACACAGCAACCGAAGTCAAACAAGCTGATGTGGACAGCCTTAAGGCTAGCTTCCCCGATCTCAACGTCATCAGTTTCGAAGATCTTCGGAAACTTGGCGAAGAAAATCCCGTGGACCCCGTACCACCAACACCAGATGACCTGTGTAAGTGACAAAATACCATATGGTATGGCTTATTCACCCGCTAATTTGAATGTGTAACTTTCCAGGCACTGTAATGTATACCTCTGGATCCTCTGGGCCCCCTAAAGGTGTGGCCTTGAAGCATAGCACGATTGTTGCTGCTAGTATGTCAACCATGCTTTTCCTATTTTCCTGTCACCTTTTATCTCCAGGCTTGCCAAGCTAACCCCTGTTTATAGTGGCCGGCGTTGATGTCATTGTGGGACCTTACCTGGGCCCGTCAGACGTTCTTCTGACCTACCTTCCCCAAGCACATATACTCGAATTTATGTTCGAGAATCTTTGTCTTTATTGGGGTGGAACCATGGGTTACGGTAGCCCCAAAACTCTTTCTGACACATCCGTGCGGAACTGCAAGGGTGACATCCGAGAACTCAAACCAACCGTCCTTGTTGGTGTACCAGCTGTGTGGGAAACCGTCAAGAAGGGAATTATTAACAATGTAAACAAGGGTGGTGCACTCATCAAGGGAATCTTCTGGGGAGGGCTTGCCGCCAAGAACTTCCTAATGTCCACTGGCCTCCCAGGGTCCGGTATTCTGGATGCTGTGGTTTTCAAGAAAGTCAAGGAAGCAACTGGAGGTCATTTGAGAATCATGTTGACTGGCGGAGGGCCGATTTCCAAGGATACCCAACGATTCCTTTCCATGACGCTCTGTCCGATGATTAACGGGTACGGTTTGACCGAAACTTCTGCCATGGGCGCCCTTAACGATCCGATGGCATGGAACCCAAACGCAATTGGCGATCTCCCCGCATCCATTGAGGCCAAACTCGTTGATTTCCCCGAAGCTGGCTACTTCTCGCACAACAATCCGCCGCAAGGTGAGGTGTGGATTCGCGGCGCCAGTGTCATGGAGGGATACTATGACAACGAAGCAGAGACCAAGTCCGCCATAACGGAGGATGGCTGGTTTATGACTGGTGACATTGGCGAGTTTGACAAGTACGGCCATCTGAAGATCATCGACCGGAAGAAGAATCTGGTCAAGACACTCAATGGCGAATACATTGCTCTTGAGAAGTTAGAGTCGATTTATCGCTCTGCTGCTGTTGTGGCCAATATCATGGTGCATGCTGCGGAGGATCAGACTAAGCCGGTTGCGGTTATTATACCCGCAGAACCTGCTCTAGTTGCGCTAGCGAAGGCAAACGGGATTCATGGGGGTAGCTTGGAGGCTCTTGTCCACGATCAGAAATTGAACGCTATTGTCCTGAAGGAGCTGCAGAATGCCGGTCGTGCTGGTGGGTTGAAGCCGTTTGAGATTATTGAGGGGGTTGTGCTCTCTGATGAGGAGTGGACGCCGCAAAATGTGAGTTTTTATGTTATTTTCTTTTATTTTTCGTTTTACATTTGGTTTCCTTCAGTTTTTCACAGAATTATCATTGCTTACTTGAGCCTTTTATTCGTATTCAGGGCTTCATCACTGCTGCGCAGAAACTCCAGCGAAGGAAGATCGCCTCCCAATTTCATAAGGAGATTGAACGTGCATATGGGAAGTAAATGGGCTGAACTCGAGACAACCAACTGCTCTGCTCTTGACTCCTTCCATTTCCACCCTAGTTTCTCGATCGATCGATCGATCGCTACGTCCCCGTTTGTCTACGACTTTCGTCCCTGAGTAGGCGATTGAATGTGCCAGGGCAACAGAGCACACGCATCCAGATCAACTTCGTCATCCGTCTTTAATATATACCACCCAAATCCATCAATGTCCACTATTCCTGTCTGATCTCCCAACCATTGCGCTGGCCTCTATGTACATTTGCGATCTAGGAAGCCCCATCGGATCATCCGCTCGTGCGCTCGTGAATTTTGCATACTTTTGGATGTTCAACCGCTTGGCTTTCTTTGTCATTTACGTTTATACTTGATTGCGCAGTACATTTTACTTCCCGCCCTGACGCTCTGCAAATTTTTTCCACGCTCCCCCTCACCCTCTGAAATTGAATATTCTCCTTCTTTCCCCTGTGGTTAATCCGATATAATGTATGTACGTCTTTGATTATTTTTGATTATTTTTTTTTTTTCGTTAAAGAATTGTCTTGCTGTTTTCTCTGGCCATTTTAGGGGTATGATCTTGTCTTTTTTTTTTCTTCCCTCTTCTTTTTTGGTTTTCCTTTAACGTTTTGACCCTATTTTCCTGCTCGAATGTAACTTTATGATCTTGATCCGTCTTGTCGTTGATGCTTTGGCCTTTTTTGATATTCCCTTTTTTATTTATTTATTTCTCGTTTATACCTGATTATTTCTTTGCTCTTTGTTTATTTGCTTGCATGCTTGTTATTTTTGAATTGCTTTTTATTATATAATTATATAGCGGAATAATATATATATGTTAGTACAGTTGTGTGTTTTTTTGAGGTAGAGTCAGAGTGTATATCAGATGAAATTGAGGTTTTGGGAACACCCGACGCCCGGGATGAAGTTCCATCTCAGTATGATTTTGTCTTTTTATTCAACTGTCGCTGTGTCCAAGTGAGTGTTTGGTGCAGGGTCAAGAGCTTTATAGTCTTTCTATCGATATCTACATAGTTTTAGGTAAAATGCAAAAGTTATACGGTGAAGGTTTCAATGTTGGTTCTGGTATTAAGGAATTAAAAATACAATAATTAAAAATAAATCATAATAAAAAAGGAAAAAAAACGACAAAAGACCCAAGTTTCCATGTTCAATGGTTTGAGAGTGAGCAGCTAAACCATGCTAAACCACTTTCGAACCAACGCCAAGCTTCACTCCCATTGCGCGACTATACTTCTTCAACCGCAAGTCATCATTTCTATCCAGCGCAAGAATTCCCTACCAATGTCGCTCTGGAGGTATGTTTAGAATCCCACAAGTTACTTAATTTTGCCAATCAATAGGAAATCCCCCATATGAAAGAAGAAACTGAAAAAAGAAAGGGGGGGAGAAAAAAAAAAAAAAGAAAAAAAAAGTCCATTCTGCCCCAGGAACAGAAGCTGAAAATGAAGCAAACCTAATTAATATTTCTTCTCCATTCTAGTTCCTATCGCAACCTCACCCCGCGCACCCGCCTCCTCTTTGGAGCCGGATTGATGGCCTACGCCACTTTTGGAATGTGGTGGTCTCCAAAAATCGAGGAGGCTTTAGGAATGGTCCCAACTAAGGAGGAACAAGAGGAGTTGGAGCGCAAGATGACCATCAAGGTTTCGAGCGTTGAACGGCAGATACGGGAGTGAGGGGGGGGGAAATATAAAGAAAAAATCAAAAAAAAAAAAAATCAAAAGAAATATAAACAGCGGCTTCCACATGGCTGGGGAATGGTCAAGAGGTTGGAAGGGCTGGGGCAGGGGATGGGTGTGGGAGAGGAGTGTTGGCCTGTTGATGTGCGTCTGATGCGAGTTTGTCCGATATGCTGTTAATGGCGTTGATTAGATGGAAGACATGGATTGTAAGAATTAAGTTTTTCACCCCTTCCTTCTCATCTTTTTAATTTAATTCCTTTTGGGCTGCTGGTGGTTTTTGGGAGTGCGGTGGTACGTATGTACGTCCACACATTCCTGTTGTTGAAGTTGATAAGGAGTGCATTGAAAGATCATCAGGGTGGCAAGGCGTCGACGCCATGTGTCTGGGCGGTTGACAAACGGGGAGAGCTCGATCTGATCTCCTCTACTTTCTTTTTCTTTTCTTTTTCTCTTTCGATTTTATTGAGGACTGGGAAGAGGTCTCAAGGTCTACCGTCGTGAAACCGAGAGAGGGCTAGAGGACGGTTTGGGACTTGATTACACAAAAGAGTGGAGTAAGACATCGCCGAAATGGCATATCATATCGCGTCGTTGCGGACTCCCGATTTTGGGGGATTTGGGCCGCGAGAACCCGGCGCAAGGGCCGAAACGAGCGAGGGAGTGAGAAATGCAGCTGGAGGGGAGGGGGGAGATTTGATGATCAGTTCATTTGAGACTTGCAGCGAGGGATTGGGTTGAGAAAGCAAGTTGATATGCATTTTCTCATTGCAGGTGGCTTACGTTGCTTCGGTTTTTAGCTTCATTTGATTTTTGAATCATTTCCCTTCGCCTCCATTGCTGACCACCCATCATCGATTTATCGTCGAATCGCATCTCGATTGAAATAAAATACCTTTTCATTCCCGATGCTGTGTACCTCAAAATGTACAACCCAATTGATCGCATTGGATGTGTTTCAAAAACCTGGTAGTCTTGGTGATCGTGAAGGATTGGACATGTTCGTGTCTATAGGGAAGCCAAGGTCGCTTGAATATTACGATAGGGCGACGGCATGCCGGGGTGTTGAAGGCGGGAAAATGGAACAGCTGTTCACGCTCATTTGCATTCATTCTTGGAAACTTCTTCAAGCCTGGCTACTAATTTGTACTCCCTTGTGCTGCTTCTGCCCAGGCTAAGCCACATTGATATCCTCGAATCGGCGAAAGGGCTACTATATTCCTGCAAAAGCGAAGGCACTGGTTTAGCGGATATTCGATCAAGCAAATCGGTTAGCATTGAGCTTCTTCGTGCGTGAATATTACGACCCTCACGGCTCTTCCGAAACGGTTTGATATTCTTCATCTTCCTGCTGCCACTCAGTCCACGATTACAGGATAGAAGCCTCCCTCCAACTCACTCATTTGACACCGAACACCACCACCACCACAGAGTGTCTTTCGGGATGTCTATGGACGTATATACGAGATACCTGAGATAACTTCAAGAAAAGAAGCCAATGCAGTTTGTCAGTTCCCCGAAACCGGCCTTCATATTCTCCATAACTCAAAAACAGCGAGAACTGCATCCACACACACAATTTACTACCTCGATTTGCATCATTCCTGCATGCCCTAGCTACCAGTGTCCATGGATATTCATTCTTCCCTCCAACCACCTGATTCTGTCTAACAATTTGATCTATTCATTACGCCTCATGCTTTGTCCTTCTGACAGCTCTCCATCGAGCATTACCGCCTGACTACATGATGTCTCAATCCGCTACAAATTACCTTTCGGTTTACTGTCTTTCCTTTCCGTTTTCCATACTGCCACCTTCTCCCTTAACGGTGATTGATTGGCTTCCTGGTTTTCTCCCAAACCGTCTACTCCATGCGGCGTCCCAAGTGAATATCCAACACAGTTTCTCTTCTTTTTAATTCCCATCAGCTTTCGATGCAGTCCATAGCCAATAAATGCCCCGAATTGTGAAACCGAGCAATTGAAATCAGCTAATGAAAAATAATACGATAATTGACAAGACAAGTTGGAGTTGGCCTAGGCAATATATCTACCTGTTTATGCCTAATTGTCCTGTGCTGATCCTCCCTCTTGAACCGTGAGAAGTTCAGGGATGATGAAGGGAATGTAATACCGGGCACGGAGCTTCGTGTAGCCACTGCTCACCTCGTACATACCAACACAGTTCATGATATTTTGATGGTGACTGGTTAGCAGCGACCAAAAGCTAAAAATTGAATTAATCAATATGGGTTCCTACATAGGTGAAAGCGTCTCCCACGAGTGATCTTTCCTATCCCTGAAAAATACTATCTGGTTATTGAACTACTTATCCAGGCTGCTTTGTGTGAGAATTGACAGAAGGTGAAGGATGGAAAGACTCTTATATGATTAGATTGTGGTTTTGGATTGAGTAAATGCTATGACTAGTAGACAGCTGGAAATTTCGGAATGCCTATCTCTTCTTCTACGATTTACAGGGCTAAAGTTTTGCCCGCCAGCAAAAAAAGGGGTGAATATCTTTGTGCTTGGAGGTAGGTACCTGGGTTTAAGAAATCACGTGTGGTCGTTTCAGGGGGCTCCCGAGCGGATTTACATGTATGCACATGTACATACATACATACATACATACATACATACTACAACGTCCATATAGCAGCGAAGACAGTCTTAAAGGGTGTAGCGTAGGGCTGTAAAGGGATATGAAAAGACATTGAGTGAAAAAAGGATGTTGTCATGTCGCAGCCTGAAAGCACATATGAACGTGAACTCGAACTTCGAACTAACTAGCAACATTTCTGCTTCTTGCTTCCCATGAGAATGCCCATGCGTCTGTCGAGGTCAACACAAGAAGTGCTCATTTTCCAATACGAAGCCAGTCAGGCCCCCAGCTCCTCCCAGTCCAATCCACAAAAACAAAATAAAGCGAAACTCACGAACTCAAAACACTGAGCACAACATATTTCTTTCCCCACTCCTACTCCCTTCTCTCACTCCCCCTCCAACTCCAATCCCCCTCCAACTATCCCTCCCCCCCCCCCCCCCTATCCCCTCCACCCTCCACCCTCCACCACGAAAACCGTACATATTCTCTTGTGTAACTTTCTGTTTATTTCCCTGTTTTGTTTCTCCCTATCCACTTCTGACTTGCCCAATAATACGAACTAGAGGGGTTGTAAACCAGCAAAAAGAAAGAGAGAAAAAAATACAAGGAAATCCCTTTCTGCCGTTCCAAATGCAATTCGTCCTATAACAACCAGGAAGCGCAACTGGGGAAAACTTTTGATTCCCATCCGTAATAAAACATGTAGAAAAAGAAGAAAAAGAGAGCAAAAGGGAGAAACAAGAGCTAGTGCAAAATCAAAAACCAAGTCATTTGGAAAAGGGGGCTATAACACATCAGTGTGATTGGGCCTTTAGTATTGGAAATTGGCTATGCCCGGACTCCGCTGCAACTTGATTACAAAGGATGGCTTTGTGTTACACTGAAGCAATTAAAAAACCCTTTCAGTGGGACCAAGTTCGGATCAGGAGTAGCCAGGCATTGGATGGAAGTGATGACATGAACGGTATAGATAATGAAACCAAATAGAAAACTTATCAAGGTCCCAGAACATATTGGGGAAGGGAGAGAGAAGCTCCAGAAGCTCCAGAAGGAACTTGGAAAACATTGTTAGCAGCAATTCTCATTAATTGTGTGCTGCGGGTCCCGAATGGAAAGTATAGAAAGGAACTCAGAAAAAGGAAATCGTTAATGCGTTGATAAAAGAAAATCAATCAAACTGTTCATAGAGTGCAGTTGTTCTCGAACGCTATGCTATCGTGGTTTATGAACGTCATCATCGAAGACTTTCAAGAACAGAGACTCTGAGGATTGTGAATTAAGTCTAGCCGTCCGTATGTATTGTCACTTGGGCGATTGGCGTAGGAGCCACCGAATTTGGGGCCTGGAGGCTGGCTCAAATAATTCGTTGTTCCGTGTCGTTTTAGATAGTGATTCGAGCCCTCATGCTCGTTTTGCAAGGTTGGGATCATAGAATCGAATGCTCCATTGAAAGATCCATCGTGCTCCTCTTGGGCTTTGACAGTCACGTCGTCATCGTAACTTGGCATATGCAAACGCAAGTTCGAAGGCTCAATGCATATTTTCCTCGAGTCAGAGGAAACGGCCGTAAGAGTTGGGTCGCTATAGGCGCCTGCAGCTGTATTGTCTTTGATAGTCTCGAGTGGATCCATTGAACCGCTGATCATGTTATAATTGTGATAATCGGGTGAGGATGACGGCGATGATATCAAGGGGCTTGCAGCTAGAGGAGAGTGGTCTGTAGATGGTAGGCGGTGGTAGTTGTACGAAGCGGGATTTCGATGGTTTGTACTATATGGTGACATTAATGAGAGATGGGTGCGTGGGGTATGACCCATGCCGGGTGGTAAGCAACCCCCTCCGTTACCATCCCCAGAATTTCCAGTGCCACCATCTGGTCCCATGCTTGCGGAACTGTCTCGTCGTCCGTCTTTATAATGGCCTGGTGAGCGACCCCGAACGACCATTGGATGGGACAATCTTTTGGCGATTAAGACCCATTGAGTATCGACTCCGTTTGGAGTGGGAATTTCAGCGTAGAGCTCGACAACCAGATTGTAATACTGCTGTTGAGCACGGCGTTTTCCGTTGTTTGCAGTCGCTTTTTGAAATTGAATACGCTCAAATGTATGAGAAGTGGGTGGTTGTGCTTGCTGAGCAGCTCCGTAGGATGACCCATAATCCAACTGCATGCTCGAGGCATGTGGGGGGGCGGCAAATGAAATATGATTAGGTCCAACTGAAGACGCATGGGCTAATACCAGGGACGGCGGCTGCTGTGGTTGCAAAGTAATTCTCCCTGGCTTCTTTTCTGACTGCTTGTCCCGTTTTGGAGTATGCTGAACAAGTTCCCGTGTTTCGTTTTCCTGCGCATTCACGACAGCAGATATTGACATGGCGAACGACCGAATGC